CAGGGAAGCTCACGAGGCTGACTGACCCCGGAAGAGTTTCTGGGCGATGTGCAGCGGGTTCCCAAACCGAAAGTTCTCCCCATTGAACAGCGCTGAGATGAGTTTGTTCTGATGCTCTCGGTTGTTCTCAGGGAAGTGAGGCAGAAATTTTTTTAGGTGCTCTTGCTGCTCATCTGTCAGGACCTCCTGCCATGTTGACAAGCTGACAACCTCAAAGAAGATCTCAGGCTAAAGAAAGCAAGAAACAACAGTGAAGAAAATGCAGCCACGTTTTTGACAATTTTCTAGCCCTTGATGCTTTTTAAGTGACACCAGTCATGAGACACTGTTTTATAAGATACAGGAAACAATAGAGCATAAAAATGAAAGGTCAAGAAATTGATACTACTAACAAGAAAACAAATTCAAAGCTTGCAACAATCTTCTTAATGGCAATTTAAAAATAATAAGAATGTAACAGAATTGATTTAAAAGATATTGTCCCGAGATAAATCAAACACTCGACACTTTTCCCAAGGCAGTCAAAAACACCCCTCCTTTCCAGTTTGCTCCATAAGCCCCAAAAAAAGGAGTTAAACACATTGTTTATATAGAGGCTATGATAAGGTAAAGTGTCTCAGCACTACTCACATCCTCCAGGAGGTCCTCAGGCAGACTGACCCGGGTGGTGCCCAGCATGCAGTCCTCCATAATCCGTGTGCAACTGCCCTCCAGCTCCAGGGGGTCTGTGAGCATGTGATCCAGGGAATCCATCCTCAAGCCCTCCTGCTCCTGGAAAACGACAGCAAAACCCTCAAAAAACAAAAATCCCAAACCCAGATACATCCATCCTGATGTGAGGAATGATGGAGGACCAACCTTTGATGGGTGATTGTTTAAATGGTAGCTATGGAGCGGGCCTTCAATATCTCTGTGTGTATATATATATGTGTGTGTGTGTATGTATGTATACACACATATACATATGTATACATATCAAACCCATACATACAAACACAATGGAGAAGCATTGTCATGCCAATGGAGAAGTGCTTTTTCAGACAGGTAGATTGGGAAGTACAGCTGACCCATCACACTTTCCTTCCCACCAGCAGGAACCCTTTTCAACACTGTTAAACACCAGGACAGACTACATTTAAATCCAAAAGGCGGTTTTAGGGTGCAGAAGCGAAGGTCAGGTCTAAGGCGGGGTTTGCCTCAGGTTGAAGGTGTGACAGGGCCAGGAGACCCGTCCCCTCCGGCACGACACAGCCGGACCGCTCTGAGATGCGAAGAAACGCACAAAACACGCGAAATAAAGAAAAGGGGAATAAAAACACGCAATGAAACGGGTGGGACAGCGAAGAAAACAGGAAAACAGGTTTATTTCATACCCCTCACGCGGCCCGGCTGAAGGCGGAAGGCGGCGGCGCTGCCGCGCCTGCGCAAACGCCCCGCCCCGCCGAACTGCGCATGCGTACGGCCCCGGAGTCACGACAGGCCGCGACAGTGCAGTGGCCTACCAGAGGACAAGTGTGGAAGTTCCCCTGAAAATACGGTAGTTGTGGAATGCTGAAGGCACCTATCAGTGGCAGATTTATACGGCTTGACTGCAGTCCTGTGCAGTGGATTAGTCATTGAGATGCTGTGGTAATATTACAATGAAGTGTTGAAAGGCTGAATATTTTGAATTTTAATGCAAATTTTCATACAGCAAACAGAGGTTCTTACTGTCTCTCCGCGCCTTTACCCACTGCCAGCCCCCTCCAAGGACGCACATTAACAATTTCCAGAATAACACTCATTTAATAAAATCTCGACGGAGTAAGGTGCAGGATTGCAGGTAAGGCAGTGTACTCACAAACTCTAATCTGTGCCACAACTTGGCACAATTAGCAACGAGAAATCAGAGTGCAGGTCTTACCCAATGAGCAAAAGACAGATTCAGTGCAGAACTTATGATGGACTCTTCCCTAACTTCTCCCTGTTTTTGTTCTTTCTTTACATTTAGGTGGACCTTGAGTGACTCTTAGTGAGTGATTGGAGTGGATATGTCAGGATAGTACCTGAAATCACCCTGGGATGGGGACAGGAGTTGCTCCTAGAGGGATTTTGTCATGGTTTGCTGATTCAACGGACATCATTCTCACCTCCCTCAGTTTTCAGATGCTGTGCAGCTGATCAGCTAGAAAGAACTTATAAACTTTACCTTTAAATTTAAAAATAGTTTTTAAAATTCCATATTTTGCAAGGGTTTCAACAGAGACACAGGGGCTCCACGCCAGTCCACTCTTCACTTATCCTCCCTTGGACTGTGTTGTGGGAGGTTGGAAATTCTGTGATCCATCCAGAGAGCAGCAAATGTATATTCCCCTGTAACTGCTATACTGTTATCATCCCATCTATCCACGCTCCACCTCACTCACCCTCCACTGAACACCTTAGCCCAATGAACAGATTGGTCATCGCGAGTGATTTAAAAAAAAAAAAGAGAAACATTTATTATTTTCAGGTTGGTTTGGTTTGTTTTTTTTTTATACCTGCCAGGCTGCACAAGACTCTGAACACAACAACAGTCACCAAATGTACAATAAACATACACAGTTAAATAAGAAATGGGGCCTGAGCAGTCCAAGAGGTGCAAGATCAGGGTGCGCAGGCTGGGATTGTTTTCTTTTTCCTCTAGGAAAATACAGAATCTGACCCAGAATGCCTCCAAGGGGCAGCATCTCCAAACAAAACAGACCTTCCAGGCAACTGAGAGGACTCTGGATTTACACTTCTGTGGGATACAACTTAGAGAGATCTTTGGGTTGCTCTGGTTTACAAACAATAATAATTCATCCCATTCCTTCTGCACTGCAGAAATGGAGAAAAAAATCCGTGCAACCTTTGCCATCTGTGCAATCACTGTAGTTCCTTATTTTGGAAAGAAATTCTGTGATACTTCCATTTCCAGACTTGCTTCTTTCACAGGCAATTCATTCAACTCATGACACTAGGAATTACTTCACCTGGAGTCAGGCCAATAGCCCGAGGGTGCTGCTGCTGCTGCAGGGCAGAGAAACTTTGATGAGGAAAGTCAAAGAAACTTTGAGTTCAAAAAGGCTGTTTTAAAATGGTTTTCTGTTTTAAATAGCTTTCACTTTTAAATAACTGGTAAAACTGTCCTCATTCATGGACCGTTCCAACAAAGGTGAATAGAGCAAAGTAGTTTTTAAACCCCACATGTGCAAGATCAATAATGGGAACATATCTGATGTTTGTCTATTGTCAAACTTTTAAGATTCTTAAAACTGCTCCCACAGTCCTCTAGTATCCCAGTCTTCCATTTCCAAGTCTGCTATTTTCCTACTACTTGTAGCATTTCTGGCTTGTTACTAAATTAGCAGCAGCCTGAAAAAAGCTATGACAAAATTCTCCCTACTCTCTTCCCACATAAACAACATTGCAAGACTCAACGTTGTAATTCCAAAGTCCTCAGCAACATGAATTCAAGTTACTGGGCATTGTGGTTGTTTCTCCCCATTGCCACAGTGGCTGGGCTGCCAAATCCACAGAACGTAAGGTCACTCACTCACTGCACTTGACCAAATGGGAGCTCTGGTTCACGTCAATTCTACCCTGCTCATTAGTGCCTCAGTATGGTGGTACAGCAAGAGAAGAGAAATCCTAGGAAAAAAAGTAACCCACATTTTGGCAAGTCACTTCTCAGCTGGCCAGTATTGGCCAACTGATTTATCTCAATACTATTTCCATGCCACATTAACAGACACATTAATTACCAAAGCCATGCCTGCTGAAAGGCTTTACCCACAAGGAACCAGATTTGCTCTTGTGCAGCCTGAGTGTGGAGTTCCCTCATGCCAAAGAGCTTTAACTCCATAAAACCTGATACCACAATGTGTAGTGCTTACTGACGTGGGTAATCCACACCTGAATCCATGGGAATATCTATGGAAGAGTCCCATAATCACACTCAGTGCAGTACAAGAGAAAACAAATCAAAAAACACTTCTCAAGTTTTTCTGTCTCAAGGACCTCTAAGACACAGCATCCTTCTTTGTGTCTGTTTTATAAATAAATGTATCCTGATATGCACAGATGAGTTTTCCAGCAAAGAATGGAAATTCAGACATACACAGTATATCCCACCAGGAGTCAATGGAGTTGTAGTCATGTTTTTGCAACCACCAGAAAGCCTTAAACAACCAAGACAACCTGTGAAGAACTATGTAAGGAAAAACATATTACATGGCCTTAAAAGATAAACCTTCTCTTTCCCTTTCTCCTGGTCCCTAAATGCAACATGAATTCTGTATGTAGACCAGGTCCATCACATCTGGCAACCCTCATGGATGGCTTTCCATGTCCCATAAATAGTGGTCCACTAGCATGTTTCTTGTATGCTTCCCGAGTCCATGGTTGGTTGTTTTCTGGAACTGTCGAAAGGAATTACAGTACATTGTTAACAAGGTTATTTGGAAAAAAAAAAAAAAAGAAACCAACTCTCCATCCAGTCTTGAAGAGGAGAAATATGTTTACTTTGAGGTGGCCACAGAGATAGCGAACCTGTCCCTTCAGAGGAGTGCTCTGTATCCTCGTTTTCTCCTTGTACAACTATCTTAGATCACAGCAGAAGCTACTGTGCAGGTTTAGCTGAGCTGCTTGCTTTTTTGTTTTGTTTTGTTTTTTTTTTTTTGTTTATAGGCAAAAAAGCAATTTTCCCTGCAAACACTGGAGGGAAAAGAAGTAACAGTGGCTCTGTACTACCCTTAGGTGCTCCTAGGACTTCAGTCAGTTTGTTCCAAACAACATGGGGTTAAGACTGTGCTTTTCTTGCTTTCTGAAACTGCTGGGTAAAACAGGGCAGGGCAGACAGCACATAAACAGTTCTGGAGGGCTGGAAAAATAATAATTTAATGGACTGCTTCGGCACATCTTCACAGCTTCATTGTTCAATCCATCCCCATAAAGGGACACCACGAACCACCGCTTGGCTGCTGCTGCTCCTTTCTGCTCATATGGCCCAGGGACACTCCCCTTCACCTTGGCTGCTAGAAGCCACAGGAAGCAGTTCTGCCATATTCTAACAACTTACATGATGCTCTCCTCTTTAATGGCTCCTGTTAAAAATATACATACTACAATTTGCCAGTAAGCCTTCAGTTAGGCAGGCTTTCTGCCATACAGCTGAAATAATATTGTTTGCTGGACACACTTCCAAAAAGGAAAAATAAGGTTCAGCAGACATGCCAAAAATAAAGTCCAGGGCCAGCAGAGGTTTCACTTCTCTTGTCCTTTTTCTTAAAAGCTGCATAAAAAGCATCCCAGAAGGATTCTGAGGGTATTTCATGGTCACTGTGAATTAAACCCTCTTAAAGCATTAACAAGAGCTCCAAGATTTTAGTAGAAGGTAAGTGAGCATATACATTAAAACATACAGAGCCCCAGGGTACCCCCACATCTGGGCTGTCAGGGAGGTGACAAGGACAAGCAAATGGCACCATGAGGCCCTTTCACTCATGCTCTGCTGAGAAAGTCCTGGTTTTGGAGATGTGCACTTCACTCCCGCCACTCCCGTTGGTGGTGGTTGTGATGATGTACTGGGTGGTTTGCTGCTGGTTGCTCGTCTGGGATTCCAAGGGATCCGTGTGGGCTGTGGGCTGGGAAATGCCCACCTGAACCTCACTGGAGAGTGAAGAGTTTTGTTTACCATCCAGATCAGGCTGACCTTCAGATATCACGTAGTGAGTCTGCATGGGGAATATAGAAAATAACTAATAAACACTGTATCTTTTGTAACTTTTCTAATAGTCCGCCCACAGACATTTTGGTGTGAACAAGGAACTTATTTAATAAGCTCTATTTCATTTAAATGTATTTGACAGCAACATAATGCCTGTCATTTGATTTGAAGGACATTTGACTTACTTGGCTTTTGGTTAATTTACAAATGGTTAAACTCATTACACAATTAGATATTCACTACAGAATAAAATAGCAATTTTCAATTGCACTATTCTGAAAGGTTTTTTTCTTGTATTCCACATGTTGTAGCAGAGATTGCATTCCCAGTGACTAAGATCAACACAAGCCAATGACTTGTCTCCTTATGCTGGATTGCTTACAAGGAATAGCAGGAACTCTTCTTATTTTTTAATCTTACATATAACAGAAAGCTACTGAAATGTTTCCAGAAGCTGTTCTGAAATTTGGTTTAATGGATACAGCTTAATCATAAATATTTTTAAGACTAAGCAGTAACACTAAATAATTTTGTTCTGCAAATGTGATTAAGTGAAGATGTTAAACTGAAAGGAGTCACATGTACAAGAGCCAGATAGCATGAGCCTTGTAAATGGTTACAATGCAGACTATACTGTGCAGTCTGCATCTCTTTAGGTACCTCCTTTAGATACTCTGTGTCCCAGTCACGATTTTGGCATTCTTTAAGCCTTGAAGCTGAAGAGCTTTATGCTTGGTAATATTCTGGATGAAAAAAAGGCCATGATGATTTTCCTTACCTGAGTAACTGCTTTTACTTGCCCTGTGTTGACAGTGGTGACTGGGGTACCCACAGCAGTCTCTGTGATCACATACTGCCCTTGGGGGATGGCCATCATCTGAATCTCTGATGCTAAAAAGTTGCAAATTGGATAATCAAGACCTTTAGTCAAACTCAAAGACAACCTTCAAAGATCATATCTTATGTCAGAAAGATTTAAAGTCTGAACAGTGGGTATTGAATAGAATTCAGGTGATATAAGGCCTTGTAGAACCCTACAGGCCTCAGCAGAATTTTGCCAGTTAACACCAGATAGACATTTGGCAATTCATGCAGAGAAAACACATCCTGTTCTCACTCAAATCATCACAGAATTACCATCCAGAACTGCATGAACATGAGAAATCATCTTCATGTCACGCTCCTTTTCTACACAATTCTTTCAAGCATGCATCCAAATTTGAACAAGTAGCTATCCAACACATGGATTCTTGCTGTATGCAAGTTTCTTGGAATAAAGGAGCCCAGTGTGCCTGCCCAAACTATGTACTGGATCAGTATGGATGATAGTGGAAGAGCTGGTACAACCATTTACATTTGTCTGAAGCGTTATCTTCTTGATATCTATGAATATTAACCACAAAGCTGAATGAACTCTGAAAACACTGTCCCATTTGGTAGCTGGAGACATGGGGCACTTGTTAGTCAGACACACTTGCCAGACAAGTAGTTAGAGCTACTGCTGACACTTACAGTAGCTCCGGAATGAGTTCCAGTTGCTGGGGAGATATGTGTGCTGGACTGAGGAGCCTTGCTGCTGCTGGAGGGCTTGGTTTGGTGTCGATGTAGTTGTCTGTATCTGTGAGGGGCTGAGCTCCTGCTGAGGTTGTTGCGAGGAGGGACTCAAAGGTTGACCCCCAGCCTACAGGGAAACAAAAGTGCAAGTGTTCTTGGTGTAGTAAGGATTGCACAGCTCTATGCTGTCACAAACACGGCCTTCTCATTAAAGGAAAACACAGGAGGGGTTCCAGAGCATATCGAACACAAGAACTGAACTCTCTCTCTTCCAGCTTGCTTCACTCTATGGTAAATAAGCTCAGACCAGGAAACTGAAATAGTGATATTGTTGCTTGCCAAAGTGAGTCTGTGGCAGAGACCTGAGATTAGAGGCTAAATTCTACCCAAGAGCATGAAGAACTGCACTTCAAATCTTTGAGGAATGCCAGTTTCCACTTGCATCTTCCAACTGACAAACTTAATTTAGCTGCAAGTATGTCTGTTTCCAATCCTTTATCTCTCCTTTGTACATATTGTTGAGAAGAAAAAATACTCCACACCAAAAAACCCATACAACAAATACCAAAACAAATCCACAACAAAACACCCCCATACACCTTGAGACATCTGGGCACTGCTTGATGATCTCAATGCAAGAGTAATTTCATGTGTGGTCCTTTACATGAAAAAGAAAACACTATTCCCTGCATCACCACATGCAATATGGCAGCTGAGCAGGCTGGTAGGGAAAGCATTTTCTGATGAGAAGAGGGAAATACCTGTGATGATGACTGAGTTGCTGGTGATGGCTCTGTGACCTGGATGTGCTGCACCTGGATGGCATGTTGAGTGTATGTCTGGGGGTCATGGAGCTGCCCAACATCCACTGTGGAGTGCTGGGACTGGTGAGGTGAGGTAGCCTGGGGAAAAAATTAAACAGAATTCTTTACCTCAAATTCTTTACAAAAGCAGCCATGCAAACCTCTTCTGGGACACAAGGTCTGGAATAATGAAGTAGGTGCCTTCGTGGAGCACACCTGTTGAGCCTCGTTGAGTTTCTTTGCACCCCGGGAGATAAGGTACATTTAATAGATGTAATGGCACAGAGATGTTCTATCTCAGTGATACCAATGGAAAGGACTTGCCTAACATCATTCAAGCTGTTTGTGGCAGTGGCTGGACTAAACCAAAGGGGCTCAAAAGCCAGGATTAGTATTAACCCCTTCTCTGTAAGCATCTCTCTGTACAATGCATACATACTCAAGATTTGCATATCCAATTCTGTAGTTTGACACAGCTCTGCATCAATACAAGTGGTCAGAGGTTTTTAAAGGTTTTTCTGAACAACACTTGCTAATGATACCAATTGCAGTAATTGAATTACAAATTTTGGATATTTATAAAATTAAGATCTTGCTAATATTACCTGCAGGAATCAATGGTCATGCTCTTGGATTGTTACAACAGCCACAGACACTATTAACTGGGGCCATTGCTTAGGCCTTTATTAACCAAATTCATAATCTGATTTGATAACATGGAATTTCAGATTAAAATATAAACACATGGTAGTTTCAGCTTCCTCCAGTGGGTAACAGATTTCTTACAACTGCCTGAGATATTTTCCTCAGACCAGTTAATCTAGTTACACTGGTTTCATTTTTAGGAGGTTGATGAGCATTAACAGAATGAATATGCTAATAGATGCTATGAAAGGAACAAGCAACCACTCTCTGTACTCCCAAATTTTGGCTCTGACTAACTGAGGACAAGGAAGTACAAATCACTCTTGAACTGCAGAAAATGGGTCACCCACCGACCCACCTTTCCAGTAGCTGGAAAACATTCCTAGAGCAGACTTGAGCAAAGCTGCCCAGATGGGTATAACTACATCTGGACAGCGTCGATGTGTCTCCAGCAAGCTGACCAAGGCTGGCAGGACTATTTATGCCCAGTACAAGTGCTTATGAAGGGAACTCTATGCCTTATCAGTTGATTTATCTGTAAAAAGTAGCTACAGCACTTTTTGTAACTACTCCTTACCACACTTTTGTGTGCTAGAGCCCCAGGAACACACAGGCTTGGGAGGGAAGAAATCAAAAGCACAGCAAGATCCCCACCAGGTTACTCACCTGGGCCACTTGAACAACCTGCAGCTGTATGTGCTGAGGCTGCTGCAAGCCCGTTGTGGATTGAGACACAGGGATGTACTGGATGCGCTGGTAATCTCCCTGGGGAGTCCGGTAATCTGTAGTGAGGGTCTGCGATATCTCTGTCATTGCTTGGGTCAGTAGATCTGTTGTCTGAGCAGGGAGAGAGAGATACAGATCATCATCATACTGATGTACTTCTTCAGGGCTGTAGTTCTTTTATCTACATTTATGTGGATCTGGTCATTTTTTCACAAGAGCTTCATGTCCAGAGGTTGGGGTCATAAGTAGTCACCAGGGATCATCAACTAGAAATTGCTGTCTTCTGTCTAAATCCTACTCTGGACTAGTAATGGCTAACTTAATATATCATAATAAAAATAATTATTTTCATCTTGTGACATACCAGTGTTCTGTTAAACAATGGAAGTCCTGGTATTTGTGAAGAGCTGAGTTGGTTTCCAAGTCAAAAAGTAATTTGTTGATATAGTCCACCTTTCTTCCTCCCCTGTCAGAGTCACAACTGTATTTCTACTGTGTAAAGACATTTAGTACATAACTTAATCAGGTTTATGAAGCCAACAGCATCCTGATTAAATCTCTCCATTTTCAAGCAAAACAGTCTTTTATCTAGTCAGTCTTTAGATAAGAAGTTTTAAACCGTGATCAATAGGACTTTTAAAACTACATAGTATCCCACAACACTGAAGGGCACATTTTCTAGTCTCAGCTTTCACTTCAGTGGCAGCTGATGTATTAACAGTGGAGAGATCAGCCACTGGAGATTCATCTTTCTCAGAGCTGTGCTGTCCAAAGGATTACAAAAAGATCTGACTCCCTGAACACAGTTTGATCCAGTCCCCAGTCACTGCTAAGCTTGTCCTCTTGATGCCAGGAACTGCATCTCTCACTTCCTGAGAAAATTCCCAATGAAAATCCAGGAGATGTGTATCCCTGAGTTCATTATGTGGAGTCAGTAAGTCTGAATGAAAGAAGAAAATGGATTTGGGGATAAAAGACAAATCCCTAAAGCTCCAGAATGAAATGAACAGCTCCTGACAGTGCAAAACGGGACCACACAGGTTTAAAACCAGAAGTGATCTCAAATAATGTCCTAATACGGGTTTAAAAGTGGTGTCTGCCAAATAAACCAGGGTTACTAATACCAGAAGGCTCCTGTTCTGTGTTTCCCTGCACTGCCCTTGTGTGCCTCCAGTCCTTACCACAACAGTTTCTCCAGTCGTGCTGTCCGTGGTGAGAACAGCTGGTGTGGAACTGATGACGGCCGTCGCCAGCGGTGTATGGATCGTGTTTGGGAGCTGAGCAAACTCTGGGTGCTTCTTGCGGATGTGCTGCACCATCTTTGTCTGCAGAGAGAAGCAAAGGAGCGTTGGAGGGACAATCAGTAACTCTGCTCAGGGCCATGTGAAATACAACAGCCTGGCCAAACACAGCTTTTATGTTTCTCTCAGTAAAACAGCCTCCAGATTGATACTATGAGATCCTCTGGTCAACAAAGTTGAAAACAAGGATCACAAACCTGCTGCTGATTAGAGGTGACACTGAAGTATTGTCCTCAGCAGGTTTTTACCCCAATATCGCCAAATGTTTTATGACTTTTTCCAAAGGTCATCTGTTCTGTGTTTTGTTTCCCTGCTCATCTCCCCTGTAACTATCAGAGAGCAGTTTTCAAGCCCTTCCATTCATGCTCATGCTCTGGTAACTTTTCAGCACAAACCCTCTATTCATGGAATCTTTTGGCCCTAAAACAACAGACTGTGCCTGCACTGTCAGCACACAGCACAAAACCAGCACCCTGACTGAGAAGAAGAGAGGTCTGCTTGTGGACAGACAGGTGACAGAGACCATGGTGAAACAGCATCCCCAGGGAGAGGCTGTCTGAGGCCAGAACCCCCCATACCTTACTGCTGTATTGCTTGGAACAGTGAGGGCAGCACACTGGAGGGGTGGCAATGGTGCCTGTCAGCTGTGTGTGGGTGCTTAGCATAGGATCTGGCTCTCCCGGTCCTGCAGGACGCAGTTTCCGGATGCTTGGAGGTAGCTCAGCACCAGGATGGTTTTTCAGGATGTGTGCTTTGCGTTTGCTGGCACTCTTGTACACCTGCAGGGCAAAGATCTGGATTAAAATGGTGCAACCCTGGTGTCTGCACAGGAAACAGATCCCAGTTATCTTGATCTGGAAGGTCTGCATGTTGCTTTAGAAAATACATTTAGTTAAATTCCCAAACAATTACAACAAAAGGCATGAACATACACCTTCCAGTGTTTCATCAACCTGTAAAAGCAACTGACTCCTTGTGTAGCAGAGAAGCCTTTTGAGAACATATTGCATGCCATAACCAAACACCAAAGCAGGACAAGGAGGTAAGAGGAAAATTCTTCTTGCCATATTTGAAGATCATATGCCCAATGTTAATTTGTTATGATGGTTGATGTCTCTACTTGACACAGAGCATCAAACTGTTTTAGTTTAGTGATCAACATACCTTTTAATTCTTTTTAGGCACATCAACAAACACTATCTAATAATTAAAACTATTTTTTCTCCCCTCAAACAAAAGGAAAAGAGGCATCACAGAAAGACATACTGAGGATAAAGACAGTCAAAAATACACTCCCTAGTAAATAAAGGTCCCCAGGCATAAAAGGCAAAGCAGAATAAAAGCAAGAACCCAAAGGTACTGCAGAAGCAGCTTCAGGCTCCACTGACCACTGAGACATGACCTAGTAAGCAGCTTACAATAAAAGATGTTAAAGACTAACTTTTAGAAACGCAAGAGTACTTACTGGCCAGGAATTATATGCAGAAGCATACTTAGTCCTGTGCAAACACAAGACTAAGAGTCAGTGACTGTCTGCAGGATAATAGTACTCAAGTTTTCCAATGCCAAACACAGCAGAAAGGGGAAAACTACAGCTTTCAATTAGCATTCCACTGCCTTGACCTAAGTGCGTTTTGTCGTTTTTTTTTTTTTTTTTTTTACAGTACTGCAGGAATGTTGCTGGCAAGCACCTCAGAAAAGCTACAAACTCTGCCAGAGATTTCTACGCAGAGACAAATTGGTTGCATCCAGGACTGGGACTGAGCTATCCTCCGAGTGGTGACTTCCCACACACCTTATCGCAGTATTGACAGAAGTAATCTCTGTTGGGTTTTATGATGGGCAACGTGAGCTCTGGCACCTCTTCTATTTTCATGTCTGGATGTCTCTTTGATAAATGATTCACCTTAAGAGAAACAGAGGACAAGAACATATTACAGCTGAAAGCCGAACGATTGGTGCTTCTCCCAGACATGGGTAACAGCCAAACCAAAACCGAACGATGCAAGCCAGCAGCACTGGAAGCATGTGCTGCTGCAAGGGTTATTGTGCACTCATATTTAACTGCTGAAGGTAAATGTGGTCTTGCTAGGTCTTATTTACAGTTTCTCTAACCAAAATTAGATAGGAAGGGGTGAAATAGTTTGCCAGAATTGTCTTGTAGGTGATATCTGAGAGTGAGGTAGCGTGAAGGGCCTCTGCCCAAATCAGAACCCTCATGAAACCTTAGCAAACAATCTCTTGCTGCAGAACAGCCTTTATCCAGAGGCAGTGCCAAGACATGGCCAGAAGAGGACTTGGAGAAGGGGGAGAAACAAAAAACAGGAAAGACCGCCAGGAAAACGAGGCTCTAAGGCTGAACAAGGCAGTATTTTCAGCTCATGTCCTGTTAAATACAGTACACATCAGACAGCATTACTTAGGGTTGAAATATGGTACTGACAACCAGATGTACAGTGCAGGCAGTAAACATGTGCAAATTTGCTGAAGATGTAAAACACACAGGTTTAAAAAAAGATTGATCACCTCAACTCAGCTACAAAATTTGCCAAAATTTGTTTCATAGCATCCTGGCTGGATAAGACCAGATTGGATGGGGCTTGGAGCACCCTGGTCTAGTGGAAAGTGTCCCTGCCCATGGCCAGTAGGTGGAATGAGATGAGTTTTACGGTCCCTTCCAGCCCAAACCATTTTATTATTCTTGTGTTCCAACACTGGAATTCCATCTTTATTCCTTACCTATTCATCAGAATAGAGTAGAGAGGCTGTAACAGCACCCAGGCACTCACCAACATGCCCCTGCGGCGGAAACCCATCATGCAGAGGCGGCACTTGAACATGAAGCTCTCATAGTCAGTGGACGCGATCCGGGGCTTGAAGGTTTTGGAGCGGCTGATCCGATCAGCCTTCTTGGCCTCCCTCTCTGGGTTGTGCATCCTCTGCATGTGCTCTCGCAGCTTGTCCTTCCTCTGGGAAGGAGAAATTGGGGGGAAAAATGTCAGCAACATCACAGAAACGAAGTATCCAGTCCCTCAGTGTCCCATCACAAACTCAGTGACAGGGAGCAGGCTCCTGCCACCACTGTTTACCTGGCTCACAGTCTGCTCCATCTGTTCCAATGGGATTTGGAAAGGCATCTGGATGACATGTGCTGACAAGATGGATGCCATGGACACAGGCATCTCGGCCAGGAACATTATTAATCCACTGGCACCAGCAAGTTAACTGACAATGTATAAACAATGTAACCCAAACACCTGGAAATGGAGATGTATGATGTCCCAGTTCTTAATGAGCAGATAGAAAGTTCCTTTGCTATTAAATTATTAGGAATAAGATCTGTTTGAAATAAGATGCTGAGGTGACCTTGCCTCTTGTCCTTCAGAAATGGATGTCATAGCTCACACGGGACACCAAGAAATGCATGCAACTCACAGGCAAGTCTAGTGTGTTTACACGTGTTATTTTCTTTCACCTTTGAGAACATGAACTTATTTCCTCAAAGGAGGGTAAAGAATAATTTTTTTTATACTACTAATGATCCAGCCAAGAGCCACCTCACCTTAAACTGCTTGCCACAGGTGGAGCACAGGAAGTCTTTGCGGTCCGAGTGCCGCAGCATGTGGAGTCGCAGCTTGTCGGGGCGGCAGAAAGCCTTGTCACACTCTGTACACTGGTAAATCTTCTCAGAATGGAAACTGCGCACATGTTTCTTGACCTAAAATGGCAGATCACAGAAAAATGAAGTTTATTCAAGAGAGAAGTGAGTTGTAACACACTAGGAAACTCTTCGCAATATGAAAGAGAAGGAAAAGGTTTTGAAGGTGTGTAATATACTTTGGTTTAAAAAGTATTTGATCAGAACAGTTGATATCTCAGCAATAGTTTCTATGAAACTGTAACATCTTTACTACTCATCTGGATGGGTAATTTGATTTCCTCAAGACTGAATCTTGAAGGCATCAGCTATTGCACAGTTGCAGTTAATGGACAGCAAAAGTCCAAAATGCACCATTTGCACAGAATCGCCCTTGAGTAAACAAATTCATCTGAGGTTCATTATCTTCCTTTCATTTATAAGAAACCAAAACATAGGGACTAATTCCTTTCAATCAGACACAACGAGCTTGCAATTATAATTGACAAAGAAGAAAAAAACTTATTCAGAACAGCATTTGCACACCATTCCTGAATGGCAATTACTTCTTCATACTCAGGGACTATCCTTCACCTCTTCAGACATCTAGAGGGGTATTTTTTTCCTCCCCCCAATAATTAACTAATGAAGTTTGACATCTGAAATGAAAGCACTGTTCAAGAAATGGATCTCTAATTAAATCCTTACCGTCTTCTAATACTGATCATACACGGAACAACTTGGCATCTCTACCTGTTCCACATAGAAGTATTTCAGTAGGCAGCAGTGACTAGTCTTAATTACCCACACAGCAAGAAGAGAAAAAAAATTATTGTTAAATGTCAAAAATACAACCGAATAGCTGGAAAAAAAGCCATGGGACTTTCAGTCAGTTGCATGGGAAAGTTTACAGTGAATTAAGTTGCAGTACAGCATTTCTGAATCATCGACATTCTTCCTTGCTGAACATTTACAGAAGATGAAGGACTTCTTCCAGGATGGAATTATATTAGTGAAATCACTTTCCCCCATCCTTTCCTCTTCAGTCTAGTGGGTAGTCTATCTGTTCCTATTACTGATCTAAACCGGATTTCTACATTTCAGTTTCACTCAGGCAGCTCAGTAAGACACATCAATTGCTCTGTCCCTAGGAAGGATAATGAATATGTGCACGGTCCATCTCAGTTTTTTCTTACTGGAAGTGGAAATAGAATCTTTAAATTCTACTAATGACCTTGTCCAAGTGTTCAGCATAGTGCAGAGTAGCCGCATTACTCACTGCTCCAGTGCAGTGTGCAGGGAAGGAGAATAAAGTGCCCAACTGAAGCTCAGGGGGGATGTCAGGAAGCAGAGTATCCTGATCTGTTCTGGCATTTCTTCGAGCTGTTCAAATGAATTATCCTGACAGAAAGTAGGCAAGGGATTAAAGATGTAAAACCCCTCATTTTTTTTGTTCAGAGTTTTAATGAAGAAGGGCAAGGTCTGTTCAAGTATACAAGCTGAATACAACAAAAGACAATTCCTTTTTGTGCCACGGAGATGTAGTAGTCAGGACTTCTGCTTCAGGAATTTCTTAGGAATAAGGCATCCACCCTTCTGCACTACAGTGCCTTCTAATGACAGATTGAAGCATCACATCTGATGATTTAGTGAACAGAGCACTTCAGTGTCATAAGACAATGTCTAGCAGTGGTTGGTCACTCTTCCATTTCAATTTCTGACTGAGGTGGACCCCTGCACCTTGTGAGAATGAACTGCTGTGCAGTTACACATGGAGAGCACTGAGAAACCTACAGCCTTTTGGAGAGACCCCCAAAGCAGTGCTTCAGATCAGTACAGCATCTCACCTGGATAAAATCTGGGAAGCGTTTCTTGCAGGTGGGGCAGGTGAAATAGCCATCATTGACATGGACGGCCACGTGATCCTTAAGGAGATCCAAGCGGTCAAAGGACTCGGGGCAGAAAATGCAGGAGTACGTTTTCTGGTCCATGTGGAACTTCATGTGGCTCTCGAGGGCACCGCTGTTGATGAAGCCCTTGTTGCAGATGTCACAGGTCAAAGGGCAGTTCCCTTCCCGCCCATGGAACCGCAAGTGCTGGTCCAGCTTGTCCTTCTCCCGGAAGGCCTTCCCACACTGCAGGCATTTGAACGGGCGGAAGGATTTCCGGATGAACAGGTGCTGCAGAGCTGCATTCTGAAAGAAGCATCCAAGAGACCGTTAGCTTTCCTTACCATGTATAGATTCCACATCCATATATATTCAGAATTAAATATATCAGATGATTAGTGAACCTAAACTTCAAGAAATTATTTTCCATCATGTTTGGCCTCCAATTTACAGCAGGGGAGGCTGTGACAGGCAGAAGTCAGGAGAAACATCTGCAGCTACACCCTGAGCTAGCAGAACACAGTGCAGGAGTTTCCTCTACATCCCTGATTTCTTCTGATTTAGCTGACTTTCTTTAAACATGCAATTTTTCTGTAAAATAAAACTAAGTCCTCTCTGAAGCACAGACCCGGGCCTGAGAAAAGCTGCAATTCCAGCTGATTATCTGGCATCATATCATAAGTTCAGCCACCACACAAAGGAATGGTGAGCCAGCACTGTGTGTTTCCCTCAGGAGCAGGGCTTATGAAATTCCACAGCCCTTTACAAGATCACCTTTTGCATCAAATATCACCACAGAGATGTGCAGCAGTGGTTTAGCATTGTCTGGAGAACTTCCAGTGGAACATGCATTCCAGAAATGCTGGTCTGAACTGTTTTTTACTATTGCCACAAAGAAGAACAGAGTTTCAAAACATGATGACAAAGGCAGAATGGCAGCCTCATCAGCAGCACATAAGACCTTGTGAGCAATTCTCCACTTCTACTGTGCACCATGTCTCTTCTCAGCCCCTATGTTTTTAGTGTGTGTTTGCCTTCACTCTGCCTTTTCTGTAACATTTAATGATCGTTCTCTGTTTTCTCTCCCTACCCCTCAGATAAATGTTTATAGAGCCATCCCAGTCCTGACCCAGTACTCTCTGCTGGATGAACAGCTGCTGGATGCACTGCCTATAGAAAGAGGGAAGGAGGTCCTGCACTTGCATTTCAATATTGGATGAGAACTTTCATGTTGGATAGTTGCAAAGCTGGAATTGAGCCCCATGAAATCCCCCAGCACACTGTCATCCATACTGCACTCCAAGTATACTGCAATGCTCCATTCCTCTGCAAGAAGTCTAAGCAATATCCACTCTTCTCTAAAATACTTCTATAAACCATTATTTATTGATGTCTTTTTTCACATTACACACAGAATCTACATCATGATAGTTAGAGAAATAATGTGGAAGAGCATAAATTTAAGTTGCATATTAGGAAGAAATTCTCAGCTGGGAGGGTGTTGAGGCCCTGTCACTGGCTGCCCAGAGGAGCTGTGGCTGGCCCATCCCTGGAAGCACTCAAGGCCATATTGGATGGGGCTTGGAGCAACCTGTCATAGTGGAAGGTGTCCCTGCCCATAGCAGGGGAGTGGAACTGGATGAGTTTTAAGGTTCCTCCCAGCCCAAACCACTCAGATTCCACTAGAATATTGCTGACACTTCTGAGCACATGTGTTCCATATGACCCATTCATGACTTCTGCAAACAGATTTCCCTGGTTTCCTGTCTCCTTTGCTTGTGGGAATGTGACAGGTGACACAACTGACATTTGCTGTGTCTCTTAAATGCACACCAACAGCTGACACTGATTTAATAAAGGTATGAGCTCTTCTGCTGGAATGAGGGGACAGCTTGGGAATACTGTGAAATGCTGTGCTAAGAATTAAATTTGTGAACCTCAAAGATCCTTTTTCACCATCTGAACTGCAGAGGGAAACCTAGACTTTCATTCCAGAAAAGAACAAGAGAGCAAATGTTTTGCTACCAAAAAAAATATTAACACCATAATACAGGAGCTCCAAATAGGGCTTCCCAGGAGCTGTCATCATCACTATTCCCCATTTTACAAGTGGAGACAATGGGAAACAGGGATCTGCTCTAAACCACACTGGGAATTGGAAAGACAGCCATGTGCTGTGCAAAATCTGATGTGTTGCTTGGAGTTCAAAAGATGTAATTGTCCCCTTAACCACAGGGAGATGCTAATAAAACACAGGTGAAAAGATGTATTTCAAGTCCTGAACTGCACTATTGAGTTTTGATCACTGGTACCTTAGCAGGGAGCTGACTGCTAATACAGCAGGCCAGACTCAACATAGCCCTGTTGTTATCTCAAGGGCTACAGAATGTGAAATGTTTTACTGCTTTTTGCTTTTTGGTAATCTATCAACTACAAAAACAGAACCAAAGAACTAAGTGTTGTCTCATTAACTTGTAGTATTGATCCGGCACAAACAATTGTGCAAATATATCTTCCAAAACTTTAACACTGATATTATGGCTCTTCATCCAAGCAATTTACCCCTATAAAATCCGCCTTAAATCTACAAAGAAGTGGCATGAAAAGGACTGGAGAAATGCAAATTGTTATTCAGGTAACACTTAGTTCTGGACACTGGTTACCTAAAGAAGAATGAATGTGACGATTTATGGTGCAGGATCAATCAGGGAAACACTAAACAGGAGTTGGACCAAACAACATGGAAGGCAGCGTTGATACGTACCATTGGATTAGATACAGGAGAAACCCAATGAAACAAAACCCCAAACCTACCTGCAGCTCCAGCTGAGCAGGCAGCATTGAGAGAGAAAAAAATACTTATGTTATGCAATGGACTTGAGAAAACAGAAGCCTTGACTTCTGCAGGTCACTACAAGCGCTCTTCCAAATAGAGTTTACTGCTTTGAGGTTTTTGCCTCAGGAAACACTAAACAGATCTTCCAGGTTTAGTCTGTAGTTAGTAACTGGGGAGTTAAAAGGACAAAGACAAAAACCACAGTTAATCTTGAAGGGGTTTTGTGACCTTTCCTGTTTTCCTAGGGCTCATTAACAGGGATGCAATGTGCATTGTAGAACCATAGTAAGAACAGAATGCTTTCAGCAGAAGGGAATAATTAGGTCAGGATGACAACAGGATAGGGAGAAGGAGAGTAAAAAAGTTAAGGAGAAGGGACTTTTTCTAACCTCATTTTACTGGCTGTGCTCCTTTTTACACAAGTACTTGCATTTCTTTCACCATGAAGGAAGTGACTGTGCTTTCCAAATCGTATTCCTATCCCTCCTGTTTCTGGCATTAGCACACAGACACCCTACATACTGCCCAGAACTGAACTAAAAACAAAGATTCATTTTGGCTGTGGACCACAGCGTTCTTCTAATTTTCTACAAGAGTTCTTGAAGGGTGCATGTATCTCTTTTCAATACTAAGGACCCCCCAACTGCCATAGTTAAAGTCTGATCTCCAAGGAAATCCCACAGACTCTAAAGCAGAGGCTAAAAAATGAACTGATCCTATCAGGACTTGAACCCTAGGGCAGGACAAATCAGTGCTTCCACCTAGCATGAAAACACTCTCGGAGTACCACTGTCTTAAGCCTTAGAAAAGCTGAAGTAATTCACAAAGAATGACTGGTTTTGAAAACTAAATCCTATCAAATTAATGAGGAAGAATAAGAGATACACAGGTTTCAGAATCATAACTAGAAGTCAGGACTTTTTACCTGTTCTTTGGAAGTGAGTAATGTACCACATATCTAAAAACCAAATGTTTGCTTGCGTTTATTATGAAGTGCATGTTATTGTAGGCAGGTGCTGTGTGAGTGTTAAAAGGGTGATTTTTTAAAACATGATGCTTGCTGGTTTAGTCTTATCTCAAGTGCTCATTGCTCACAGTCTGATGCAATATGGAAAGGTCTGTGCAACCATCCATCTGCCATTCTGCCAGTGCTACTGGCTTGAAACATCTCCAGGACTCGGCTGAACAGGAGCTGCCAGATAAAGGGAAAGATCGGAAGACTTGAGATACAAACATATCACTGAACCACCACTGCACTCCTCTAAGCTGTCATCCATTTGTGATGAATTTACAGAGAACAAAAGTGAAGTCACAAGACAAAGAAGTAACTTCAGAATTTCTGTCATTTTCTTCCTACATTAATTACTTCAGAGGATCCTAAGTTCACATCTTGGGTTCAAAAGTTCAGGGAAATGGGCAATGCTTTCTTTTCTTTTCTGAGGATGCTGTAGCACACTGTAAGCAGTACATCCCCATGCTCTGTCAAAACTTCAGCATCTCTCTCTGTACTCTATTATACACCCTTCAAAATACATTCAATAAAAAATCCCACAAGATTTTAACATATAAAAATGAAATCGCTGCTAGAAACTTGTCATTCAGAGACTGCAAGCATTTTGTATGGTTAAAAACTGTGCAGTCTTAATGTGGCCAAGCCAAACTCTTCCTTCAAGACATGTCACACCATTTTTGGGGTAATACCACCATTGTTCTTGCATATATGTTACTGTAAACTGCAAGCAAAATTTGGTTCAACATCTTCCAACACAGAATACTCAACTTTTTTCTAATCCTTCCTCATCCCCTAAAAATGACATCCCCTAAAAATGAACCCTGGCCCCACTGCAGCTGTTTCTTTCCTTAATCCAGAGTTAACACATGGAAGAAAAAGATTTTAAGCTAAATAAACTGATCTCCCAGTTACAAAGATTCAAGGATTTGAATTTGTGCTTGAATCATTTCCCACCCACACAGAGAAAAACCAGCTCAGCCAGTTGACATAGAGCTCAGGCTCAAAGTGTTTGCTTTTAACACGGGTTTTGCTCTCAAAGGCAGGGTTTTCTTCCCCAAAAAAGGACTTTATCACTAAGTATCATCATCATCTAAGTGGATCCAAACTGAGGTTGTGGTTCCTCTTCGGCAATTATTTGCAAGAGAGCTCTGAGAGACACAGATGGTGCTGTGAGCAAGTCATTAGTATGTGCCACAGCACCAGCATCTGTCAGTTGTTTGAAGCACTCCTGCTTACCAGTTTGGATGGACTGTGTTTCCATGCAAGAATTACTGTGATGGAATTCAATCAGCTCCAGCTCCTGACCAGTTCTCACTAACACCTGTGAGATACTGTGCTACTGTTAGTGGGATACTCTCACTAACACCTATGAGTCCTTTATGTGAGATTTGTCTTCCTCTCAGTGCAAAGAAAACTGCTATGAATGAATGAGATACTTTATTTGGGATTTGGAAATGGATCTGACAGTGAAAGGAGGACCAGCTGGCCCTGGCAGGCAGGCCTGGCATTCCCTGGGTTACAGTGGACGTGATCCCTCATCCTCTGTGCTTACCCTGATGCGCTTTGCTCGCCTCATGTCATCTGCTGTCACGGAGCTCTGTGTGGACACCGTGTTCGCCTCGTGCTGTGGCTGTACATGGAGCACGTGGTTTTCCTGCTGCTCCAGCGCTCCCTGTGGCTCTGTTGGCACCGGAGTCTGTTCCTGCTGCTCCAGCCCATTCAGTGGAGCTTGTCCGGCCTCATCAAACTGCCCCTTGCTGGAAAAATGCAGCAAGTCCTGAAATCGCAAATCATACAACCAGTGATTATTCCCCCCACCCACTGAAAAACACTTTTGATAGTACTCAGCAGACAACAAGATTTGTACATATTTAATCAGAAACTATAAACAAAACAGCATAGTGTAGTGTCTATACTAACTCCTACAGTTCTCCTACTGTGTCCACTGCTGCTTTCGGCATAATCACCTTCACCTACAGCAGTGTCACCCAGAGCTCCAGGGAGGCAGTGCTGCAGGTGGGTGACTCTCCATGGGCCATCCCTCTCTCTGCCCAGCCATGGTCATTATGCTTTCTTTCTCAGTATTCCTACTCACCCATTCAACTCAGCAACAATGCTGCAGTAAATAATAAAATGCAATAAATAATAAAAACGGCATAAATTCTGGCAGCAAAACCAATCAGCATTATCTGGCTGATTAGCTGGATAATAGCCAACAAGGCTCTTCTGCACTCAGGACTATTTCTGCTTTAACCAAATAGACTAGTGCAGACCCAGGAAAGGAGAGAATTTCTGTCTCATGGAAACTGTTGTCACTTTGAAACACTGTGTGTCATTTTGCAGTGTCTCCTCCTTTCTAAAGAACTATCTGGAGTGCCAAACTGGAGAGTGACAAACAAGGTGATCACACTGAGCACTATGTGGTTTTTTTATCCAGTTTCAAGCTCTGCACACATCACTGCCATAGAACACACAAAGCTGTTTTTCCTCCCCTTTTGCATTAGCATAAAAGGGAGGTGCTGTGAGCAGGAAGCACATGCCAGAAGTCTACATTCTTTCTCTGTGAGTTCCAATAACTCATCTGGAGTGGAATTATCTTCTATTACATAAAAAAACCACACAGATCCTTATTTGACACACACAATGCAACTGAAGAAACTTAAAAGCACAAGCTAAGAAACAGAACACCAGAATAAATTTTGAATTATGTCAGTTGAAGGCTGGTGTTGTCAAAACACAAAAGTGGCTGTGGGAGAAGAAAATCAAGGAATGAGGCCCTTACAGACTGTGAGTGCTTACCAGAAAGAGACCCATAGTAAACTATACACAATCTCAGTGTCCAGCCCAGGTCTGGGGGGCAAGTTTCGATCTTGCTGACACCCAGCTGTGTTCTCAGCATCCTGACTCTCCAGTTCCCAGGCAGAACTCGTGCCCAGCTTTAGTGAGGTGAGCAGACCTCCAAGGGCTTAGGGCACCACCCTACCCCACTGCACAGACACACGTGAGCCAGCTCTGTGCCATGCTCCAAGCTGGCAGGACACAAGCTACCTCCAGTCCAGAGGCCACTCACACACTGGAGTGTGCCCAGCAAGCGCCATCTCCCCAGAGTGAAGGGTTTGGAACCAGCATTAGGTTTATTTGTCTAAATGAGGCTGGCATGTGTCATGTCAGCCTATAGAGAGGGTGAGCTCACAACTGCCTGCACCTAATGCAGCATTTAGGGCATTGTAGCAGGAATTCACAGGCAGAGTACAGATTCCTCCGTCTGAGTCAGCACAGAGCCATGACCCAGTGAGGAGCCAGAGGAAAATTACCACTCCAAATACCAGCTTTCAGCTAAGTCATAAACCAGAACACTGATTCCTTTTGTCACTGCTCATAAAAGAACTTAGTGGTAACCTAAGCATGGTCACCATCAGAGAATTTAGTTTTTTACTTAAATGCACCATATTACATCCCTGCAGAATATAACCAACAGCTACAAGCAAAAGAACGTTTTGCAATAAGCCTGCCTACAGGAGGCCCTTCTGTTATTATTAAAACATCATGGAGAATCATATCTCAAACTGATTTAATTCTACCAGCAACAGTTTTAAAAGCAGGCTGATCTCACATTCCAGAAAGGACAAATAGAAGCCTAAACTACTATTACAGTTTTACTGTCTGAATTACTTCTGTGAGGCTGCTAAACTGTCACAATAACCCAACCTCACTGCTAAGTGCTTTGAAGTGAAACTTGATGCAGAAATCCAAGTGATTTTACAGGTTTTATAGTAGGAAAGTACTGTGCTCTTCTGGCAGAGAACTCCAGCTAGAAACCAAGAATTACTCATGTGTAAGTCCAAAGCATACCTTCAGTTTGCACTGATGCCCCGAATTCTTTTAGTCAAGAGTTTACATTCCATGTGCTATTTTTTTCCCTCCATCTCCAAAAATATACCTGTGTTCCTTCTTCACACTTTTCACCATTTTCACTGGTTACTTCTATGCGCATAAATTTGGGAGGGCGCCCAGGGCGTCTGCCTGGTCCGAATCTCCTCTTTCCTCGCCCACGACCTCGGCCTCTGGTTCTGCAGAATACAGGAGTGCTCCAGGTTAAGATACAAAAAAAGACTAATTTGGATTCTCCACTGATTTTATGCTTTCTTTGTCAGCATTCCTACTCACCCATTCAACTCAGCAACAATGATGCAGTAAATAACAAAATACAGTAAATAATAAAAACTGAATAAATTCTGGCAGCAAAAACAATGGGTTTCTGCCTGGTATCTATTTATTTTGTGCTTTATGAGAAGCCAAGGTTCAGAATACATTAAAATTTCTATCAGTAATCATGGGACCAAGAGGACTACTTGCTTCCATCCAGCCTTCTGCCATGGCAGACTTCTTCTAACACCCCAGTTTATGTCGTGCTGAGAAGCATTTTCAGCATGCTGGAACAAGTGCACAAGGACACCCATTTAAAATCTGAAGCCATAACATTCCTCCCCAAAAAGCACTCAGCTGTTGATGTCAGGCACTAAACAGAAGGGAATAATTTTGCATCAGAAAAGCTAAACAAAACAGAGTCACTTGCTACATTTCAGGAGAAAGAAGGCACCAATATCTTCTGCTCTGTGACAGGTGTTTGTAGATTCAGTTTTCAATAAGTCAGGATAAGCTATCTTGCCAGTGGCACAATGAGACACTAGAAGCCTTGTTTTCCAAGCTCTGTTATTTCCGTATCTCTGAGAAACATAGTATTTCAATACTGTGATGCTGAAGCATTACAAATATTTAAAGTCATTGTCAAAAGAAAAACAAAACAAAAAAACTTTACTAATTTCAACAGACTATTTATTTCTCTCAAGCTACATGTTTCACTGAGTCTTAGACCAGTCAGCCTCCTGCTGCCATGATTTTCCATTCTGGTGCTGACTTGATCTCTCCTGAGTTGGTCACTGAGATTTGCAGGACAAAGCCCCTCCTTTCTGCATGTTTGGGGAAGCACCACAGTGATCCACAAGCAAAGCTAAGGCTGTCAGTACCTGCTGAAGAAGTCCAGCTTCTCATCGTGGGAGTTGAGGTGCTGCTGGAGCTGCTCCGAGCTCATGAAACGCCGATTGCACTCGTAACATGGCCAGTTCTTTTCCTGCTCCCTGAGCACTGTTGGAAATGTCAGTAACACCATTTCACTCATCACCTCATTTTTTTGCCCCCAGGCTCTCTATCCTCTGTGGGCCAGATTTCTCCCCTGAAGGTTAGACAGGCTGCAGAATACCCAGCCCTGCTGGTCTTTGCCTTTATAGTCTCTGTACTGTGCCAAGACCATAGCTCATCACAGACACACAAATATCACTGGGGACAATTCTCATGGAATATCAACACTGTTAGATATTCAGGGGGATTCTGAAATTCACCCTTGTGTGGAAGAGCATCTACAGGATTGTGCCTCTGGTGTAAGTTAAGGGAAATCAAGGGAAATTTCTAAATCTAAAGCAGTCACACAGCAGACAGTGAGTACAGAAACAGATCTCTTCTTCGGAGGAAGTAACCTAAAACTTCCCAGAAACTGAATAAAAGGCTTAAATTAAGGTAATATTCTTATGAGAATAGTTATTGGAAATAAGCCCCAAAAACACAATAAAGATCTGGCTTAACCTTTCCTAACCTAGCAGAAATTTGGGAGCACTATACAGGCCATATACTTGAAAGTAAGGAGTGCAACTTGCAACCACCACCACACTGAAAGCAGAAGATCTCAAGTTACCCTTCCTTTCCTCCTCAGTTATGTCATGGATCTTCTGGTTCACAAACTCAGCATAGGAGGCAGCATACCACACCTGCAGCAGGAGCACAAGGTAACAGGACACTGAAGTGGAGCCAAAACTAATGGAATTTTGTTTTAAAATGGGTTTTAAGCAACACATTCACTTCACTTGCCTCAACCACTAACACTTATTTCTCTTTCCACCCTCAATAATAAAGTCTGGTAAGATCAATGTGGCCCCACTGAGGAATGTAAGAGCTTTGCTCAGGAAGTACATCCATTTAATTTTAAGGTCTAGCTTCCTAACACAAATGTTTATCTCCCACATGGCTTCCAGTAGCTCTAAAGGAAGTAAGATTAATGTCTCTTCAAACCCAGCTATATGACTGTAAAGGAAGGATGTCATCAGAGTACTGATACTTGTACCAAGTGGAATGGAAATGTTATTAACTTGGGGGATTTCCCATTTCTTTCCTGCTCTCCTTACTTAGACAATAGGCAGCACCATCCACATAGACTCATTTAAAATGCTTCTGAGCTTCAGAAGGATTGGAGCAATATGGTCATGCTTCCCAGAACAAAAATCTGCCAAGCTGGCATGATGGACCCACTTTTGTCATACAAGGAATTTAAGCCTTCAGCAAAGGCAACCACACGAGGCAGGAAGATAAAGTTTATAAAAGCCTAAAAGCAGATGCTCACATTTAGATGAGAATTCTTCCATCATTTCATTTGTTTGATGAAAAAGAGTGAATTTTAGAAAAGATTTCTCAAAGAAGGCATCAACAGATTTTCATCAGGAAAGACTCAAACAAGTTTGAACTTGCAGTGGGCACAGGCAGAGGTGAGTAGGATTTCAAGGACTCTCCAGCAGGTGCATCACTCTGCAGGAATCTCACTAGCTGGACAAAGACAAAAACCTGGAGCTCCTGGACTACACACCTGGCAGGCAAATCAAAACTTCCCAGCTTCAACTACTTTATTCTCTGTACAAAATGTGCATGAATGCCCTACATACACTTGGGGAAGAAATCAGGACACGAAGTCTTTCAGTTAGCAAGCCATTTTACCCCAAAAGACACTATTAACACATAAAGTAAGAAAAATGATGCTCCCACATGGAGGTCTGTACAGATTTAAAGTCTTATTTCGAATGGTTTTAAAAACTGTTGAGAAAATGGTGTTTGAATACAGTTAATATGGATTTGTAAGATTTCTAGTAATTCAGCTTAAAACATTAAGGACTGATTTCAGATAGTCCTGCTCTTAAATGGTATAAGTAGGCTTTTGCCCTATTCAGTAAGTGCACTTACTAAACAGTTGTTTTTCCAGACAAATTGTTGAAATCTACATTCAAGAAGAGATTTGAAGAACAACAAAATTTCCTGATATCAAATTTTTTTGGTCTCCCTCCCAGTGCCCAGAAAATGTTGAAAATTAAGGCCATCTCAGCCAGCCACACTGCTTTGAGTTCAAGACAATCAATAAATTTTCAGAGGGAACAAAAAGCAAACTACAGGAAAATCACAATATCCTTTATCATTTTTCACATGCAAAGTTTCAAAAGCTCCAGGAAAGCCAGGTAAAAGGGGAGACCACATTCACTTAAGGCACCAGAAAACAAGCCAGGAACACACAGGGCTAACTGGAAAGGGCATCTAGAATTAAAAAAATACAATTGCTGCAATAAAAATTAGATTGTATCAGCAAAATATATGCTGTGTAAAGCATGACAGGGAGAGACAAATAATTTACCTATTTTTATTTTAAACTTCCTCATGAACCAAAGCTCATTAAAATGCATATGTTGGTGACTAACTACTTACTGACTTCAGTGATATTCAATTCAGGCCAGGCTTTTTTTCAGAGGAAAAAAGTTCTAAAACTATTCACATCAGTAGTTTTTGGCACTTAATAGGCATCAACTTTTAAAGTACTATTTAACCAGTAGAAAAAGAGAATCCTGACACACAAGCAATGCCATACCTTGAGTTCCTGCTTGGGTTCCACATTTTTAATGGTGGTGTAATAAATGTGGTGGCCATACTGATAGGCCACTAGGTTCTGCTCCAGGTGATTTTGAGCTGGACGCACAAACATCATCCAGTTACACAGAGCCTCACTGGACAGCTCAAACCACAAGTCCTCTTGCAAGTCTCTGTCTTTTCTGTCACCCTTATCAAGAGAAACCTGTAGCAAAATCCAATTACATGTGACTGTAACTGCCTGGCAGCACTTTCAAAAGAATTTGACTTACTAAGGAAACTACAGTGCCCATGCAACTGTTACATTAGGGGAGCAATGAAGACATAGCTCATTTTCTCTTTACTAACAGAGATCCAGAAACAAGCAGAAACATATTTAGCAACAGGTAAAGATTAACTAGGGAGGCACAATGGATCCTTCCAAGGTTTTCAGGGACAAGAATCATTCATTAAAGGGGTCAGGCACAGTATGAATAAGTGACTATAACAAATGACACACAGGTAGCTGTAGCTTTAGTAGGCTACAGAAACATCAGTCAGAAGTTTCTAACTGGCAGACCCACTTTTCCTTTCATTTCTTGAGTCATAACACTGTCTCAAGCAGGAAACAGCTTTTTTTTAGCTCAACTTCTCTTGGTTGCTGGATCTGCCTATGATCACAATTTGCTTGTCAGACACTGACCATCAGAGCCCTCCTAAGACTGTGGATCTAAACCCCAACAAATAAAGGACCAATTTTTCCTAGTGAAACCAGCATGGATAAATGGATAAAAGTCACTCAAATACATTTTACCCCATACAATTACTTGGCAAGAGGAAAGGCATAAAAATATCTCCTCACCCCTACATCTTATGAATAGAAAAGTAAGAAACATATTTTGAACTGCGGTTACAACATGACATAAAAGAATGGCAGCAGAATTTCCTCAGAAGGGGCTGCTATTTTTATGTCCAGATGCTGCTTCAGCTCATGTGAGAGTGATTCACAGCCTTCCATGCTATGCACCCTATATATACATATATATAGCCTATCACCATAATGCCAGAACATTCACAGGGATTAGTGTGTCACCCTGAATAACAGAGCAAAATTGAAGCCAAAACAATCTGGGTATTTCTTAGTTACATTCAGAGATGGAAGTAACAAAATATCTCTAGTGAATTGATAAAAGTAGAGTGACAAATTAATGAAAATCAAAGCTTAGGCACAAATTGATTTCCCCTTTTCTCACCCTTACCTTCAAATGGATATAGCAGTCTTTGAGCTCAGTCTGTCTGACCAGAGGTCCTTCCACAGGCCCAAATTGTGTTCGCTTTGGGATGCGCCTTTTGGAGAACACACCTCCCAAAAACCTGTCTATGTAGAGCACCAGGGGAAGGCTGGCCCTCGCCCTGGTCAGCACAGGCCGGTTTGGGATGGGATGCAAAGGTCCATGTTTTGGACACACTGAGGGATGTGCGTTATTACACTCTTCACACCCTGCAACACAAAGGCAGAGAGGAGATGACTTTTAGGTAGACACTCACACACCAGCTCAGAGACAGCCTTATCTCTCCCTAAACATCTTTGGCTCAGCTGTGGGAACACTTATGCCAATAGTCTGTCTGTATTTCAAAATATTAGACAGGCCAGTGTCCAGCAAAATAGGAACAAATCAGCTCAGAGACTTCGCTAGAGACAGAATTTTGTCTTTTCAGTCAAGCAGCCCAATTTGAATTCACATTTCTCTGTGAATCAAGACTCACATTTACTCATTACTGCTAAAATCTGAATGTTTTTTGCCTCTCTTTACTAAAGGTCTAATGGAGAGGGAAGAAAAGAAGGGGAGGCAGGTAGTACACTACATATGACTGCACATGCTTACACAAATCATTGGGATCAAAGGGTCGAGGTGGATCTGGATCCCACTCATCCATGTCAGTGTCTTCCCCATCTTCATCCTCATCTTCATCCTCATCATCTTCCTCTTTTGTTTCTATCCTTTCCATTTGATTTTGCAGAGGTGCTAAAGAATCAGAACCATCCACAGCCTCCATAGGAGGTAACACTTGGTTATGCACCGGTAATGATGCCTGAGGAGAGAATTCATAATCAGTTCAAGCTGATTCAATAAGCAAACCACAAGGACAAGTAATGAAGGACCTTGCTAGCCTGCCCTTTCTGCTGCCTATGGTAATGGAGAGGAGGACAAGAGAAGGTGCTAAATTACTGCCAACGGATGTTTTGCATGGCTGGCTGCTGCTGATGGCCTCACTGAAAACACCTGTATTACTCCCTGGCTATACCCTGCCAAGGACTCAGTTCTCAGAAGAAACTGAACTCAGAAGTTCTTGATCCTTGCAGAAAGTTTAAAACCAAGTCCAGGCTCCGTGGATATTACCTAGAGCCTAAAGCTGTATTTTAATTTCTTTTGTACAAGTGAGAGAATCCTGCACTTTGGCGCACCATCTTCTCTTGGCAATCCAACAAAACCAATCTCCAGAGTACAAAGGTAGAGGTCAAGAAGGGGTGAGGTAATGTGGAGACTGGATATAAAGCACAGGACATGAAGAACAGTTGAGGCCCTTGCACACTTCCACTAATTTTCAAGTTTAGCCCTTTCCTTCCTTAAAAGAACTGCAACATTTGTAGTTTGGCGCATTTTTCATCACCCACAAGGTTTCTCAGGTAGAGAACAAGAAATAGTACACGCAGCAGAGCTGCCTGAAAACACTGGCAAGGAAACCCAGTGGATGTTACTGTGACAGTCAGCACTACACCTTCTGTTAACTTCACTTTTCAGCACTGACAGACTTTTAAAGTGGCTGCTCACAGAACCATCATTGAAACAGGTTTCTCTGTATATTAAATATATGATATCCTAAACACCCATACATTCCATGGCAAGACTAGGGAAGACAGTAAAATCTGCACTACACCTTTCTCAAATCTCCTCCCAGATCACTCAGCTGCATTTCCTCCCCAGAGATGATGGAGCAATGGAATCAGTGCGCTCATACATGAAAAGGAAAGGGTGCCTGGCAACTTACTCTATCTGCTTGTGGCCCCTGCTCCAGAGCCACTGGCTGGGGGGGATCAGCAACGCTGCCGAGCACAGACAGGTTGGTGGGATTCATGCTCTGAGCAGCAGCAGGCAAGAGCACCGTTACCTAAAATCACAGGCACTCATTTTAGCACTGCAGCATTTCCATCAGTCACTTAACACATGGGCAGGGCCCGGCATGCACAGCTCCCTTGAGCCCTGCACTCTACTCAAAAACTGCTGCATTCCCATGATTTTTGGGGTTCAAATAGGGATAATGGGCTTGGACAGAACCTGCAGCTCCTGGGACAAAGGGAAAGACTTAAATCTATAGACTTTGCAATTTCTGAATTACCTATTACATATTTTTAAATTAAGGTCCTGGGTTCAATTGCACTAAAAACAGATGTTAGGAGCTCTTTAGCTCTTGGTAAAACCAGTGATTTGGGGTCTCTTTTCCTCTACACCCAAATTTACTTTCATTTTCAAGGGAAAAGGTAAAGAAGGACTAAAAAACATTTCCTCATTTTTTGACTTTTTCCTTCCTCAACCAAACCTTGCTGATGGCTGAGGAGTTTAGAAGTAGATAAGCTTTAAGATCCCTTCCAATCCAAATAATTCGGTGATTCTATGATCCAGGCTCCATAAAAACCAAGATGGTGTATTGACCTCATGAGATGATCAACCTCTCAAAAAAGAGGTTCCCAACAATTATTTTTCTTTACATTTGGTCAAACTGTATATTTTTGTTTACATACTTTTTTTGGTGCTGTAACAAGCTAATTAATGCATATTACATTGTTTTCATCCATTCAGCAATAAAACAAAGCACAACTAAGGAATCACCTTATTTGTGCCTTGCTTTATTGCTGAATCCCTAGGAATCACCTTTCCTGCCTTTTGTTTCCTGCTTATCTATACAGGGATTTGCCACCATTTTTTCACGTGACTTTTCATCCTTCTCTACAGCTGATATCGTGTGGCTTCTAGTCTGTGTCTCTGACTGTGAAGCAGCTTTTTGCTAAAATCCAAGCTCTTGCCTCTCTGCGGAGTGCTTAATAAATATCAGATAAAACAGAGAACAGTGCATTGGGCCAGCAGCAAGGGAGCAGACAACAAAATTCATAATGTAAGCACTTGGTCTTAGTACTTTAAACTAGTTGCTTTGTTTAAAGAGGTATTAAGAGTATTTTATGAAACTCCTGAAAAACAACAGCAAAAAGACTTCAAGGAATGGTGCAACAGTGAGGATGAAGCCACCATGACAGTCTGGTATTGACAGTCCTGAAGCCAAGCGGCAACAAAGAGGCATCATTATTCCTCCAGTGTGCCAGCAAGGATAGGGTCATACAGATCTGGATCTATTTGTACCCCCTATTAGCTTTGCCTACTACTAATCACACCAAACATACCCTTACTTGCACTTCCATGTCAGGCACTGCATGGATTATGGGCATTATTTTTAAAAAACTCTCACTTTCTTTCTACAATAAAGTTTCTTCTGAAAGACAAGAGGAACTTTAATTATTATTTTATCATTAGTTGTCAGTTCAGGGATGTCCCACATGAAATGCTGCTGTAAAAACAGCTGCACAGGCAGAAGTTGATATAGTGAGGGATTAACTGTTCACCAAAAAATTAATATCTATGTTAGGACTGCTATCAGACTGTGTTGGAATGGAGGACAGGCTGAGGACAAGGCCTGAGGACAAGGCAAGTGCTTCTGGAATAATAACAGTGGATCACCTGTGTTGGAACTCCCATCTGCACTGTGTACAAATAATCTCTAATTAATCATACATTTGTTAAATGAGCTTTAAGACAATTAAATTAAATAAGAATTTCTCGCTTTTTAATGCAAGGAAATGGATGGAGCAAAAAATTCAAGAACAAAACTCCAGAGAATAAGAAGAATGAGAAGACAGGCAACACCTTTATTGTGTTAGTCATTGCTTTCCATCTGTGCCTCAACCATTTAGAAAATTTGTTTTCAGCACAGATTCAATCTCTCACTCTGCCCCAAGACTGTCAATAAACACACATTTTAATGATGGCTTTGGTAATGATTCAGAACTAGTACATCCATTCACACATGTCATTAAAGACTCACCAAGCAGAAACGATTTTAAGTCTATGACAAGCAGAGAATTCCAACCAGAGATCTGAAAGCACCTGTCTACAGCTGATTATCATAGCCCAGTCCCCAAAGATACCAGTAAGAGTTAATAACAACTTCCCCATCCATGATGGATGTAAAAAGAATAGGAAAAATCATCACAACCTTATAAACACAGGCTGCAGTTTTATTTTTTTCCAGCCCACCTCACACTGGCAAGCCCACCACACCTGACAGGGGAGCCGGTCACTGAACTTCTTCAGGTTTCACTTAATTTCCTGTGACATTTCTAGTAAACCTAGAATTTAATCTAATTTTTCTATCCCTCAAAAGCCTTCTGTGGACTCCAAGGCATTTGGATCAGAACCTGTATGAGGACAACTAAAAACACCACCTTTCCAAAATGGCACATTCAGATGACATCAGCCACATGTGCTGCAGGGACACTGCTGAAAGATTTTTTCATGCTATGTGGGGCAGTAAATTAGAATTTTTGCTGAATATGAATTAAAGAGAATAAACTCAAAATAATTCTTAACTTTTACCGTCACTCATGCTCAAGGTGGTCAGGCCTGGCCTTGATCAGGATAACAGCACAAGACTAAGATGTCACTGGACAACTTCAAAAACAGCTCATTACCCTCCTGCATCACATGAATGTCCCTTTACCTTCCCTAACTGTTCCCTCAAAATATTAGGCCCAAAATGAATAATATCTCTTCCTTACCTGCTGGGTGGTAGCATCCTGTTGGACGTAAGCCACTTGGGACGGATCTGTAAACAGAGTCTAGACAGAGTGAAAAAGGCTTATCAAACCAGCCATGGGGGTTTTTACTCCCAACTCACACAAAAGTTATCCTGCCATTATGAAACAACCCACACTGGAGTCTTTGTCAACAGCTTCTAACCTGCCCGTTACCACCGCAAACTACGTCAACTTATCCAAGTAAACCTATATACATGGAAATTTAAAATTAGGTAATGCTCCATAAAGAGTTAATGTATTTATGTGGCACTTTGCATCTGCATAGCTAAAGTGTTTCACAGATTTTATTTTTTTTATTTACCAAAATCACTTTGTCAGTTGTTGATTTGATAAAATCTGTAGGATGAAATTCAGTAGCTCTATCTATGCCCTTAATGTGTAACACTTAAAAGCAGGATAGAAAGTAACTGTGAGCTTTTTCTTCCTGAAAATTTACAACTATCATGTACATCCTATATAAGAATTTGATATGGCCAGGATGCTGTTTAATTTCAGAGAAGCCATGCCAACTTTGGTATTCTGCAAGAACAGCCCTGACAGAATCCCAGGAAATGCAAGACTAAGGATTGACTGAGGCCAGCCTGCCTTAGCCAAAACTTGAAATATCTGAGTTTGCAGCAGCCTGGCTACAATAAAATAAAGCATGATATAATACAAATTCCTTTAGCATTGTGATAATTTCATCTTAGATGCAAGAAGACTGTCTGAATACTACATATCTTTTGAGACAATGGCTGCATTTAGAGTTTTGGAGTTAGTTGGCCAGTAACTTCCTGATAGATATCCTCTCAGGACATCCCTTCACACAGAAGCTGGTTTTCTGGGACAGCTGACAGGTACACAAGACACAATGTGCCACATGAGGCCCTGCCAGCACAACAGGGGTGCCAGGGACGTGCACTTTGCAGCACAGCTAATCTGCTCTGTCAGCAAAGATATTATAAAACACTCTGGACAAAGCGAGCCTGTTCCTTTTTAATCTGTCCACACAGAAGCAGAGATGCATAGCATATTGACCCGATATAAACATATGCTGCAAGGAATAAAGGCTGTTTGATACGATTATGCAGAAGAAAATTAATATAAAAGATCTATAAAATCAGCAACTCTGCAGAGACCACAAAATTACGTTGAATAAACAGAGATGCTCTGCAAAAAGACATGACTGTTATTGTAACTATCAATTATGACAACTGTACTACACAAAACAAAGACTCTTCCAGAAGGAATATAGATGGCTCTTAGCTTTTTACTGGATACAAGAGGCAGAACTACTGGTGAATTATCCATGTTCTGGAAAACACCTCTGAGTAAATTATAATCTCATCCACTTCAGTGAAATAACCAGCATTTCATTATTCATAGCCTCACCATCCTTTGACAAGCAGATTTGCACATTAGACAAATGAACAGCATGAAGTCCCTGCTCAGCAGTGGGCAGAGAAAACTGCTGGGAGCGACTGCCTGCTATTTTCCAGTCATACCACTTGGCTGGTAACTGGCCTTCATCCCAAACAAGATTGTTGTGTTTTCTAGGTGCCAAAACCAGGGTGGGCTCAGAACCACACGTGCCTGCGTAGCTTCCACGGGGTGGATGTAAACGAGGGTGTGCTCCGAGGTGTCCACAGAGGTGTAGGAGGTGCCGTCAGCCGTGTAAACCACCTGCTGGGCAGGGCCGCGCTCCTGCTCGTCACTGTACATGATCTGGGCCACCGCTCCCCCCTCGGGGACAAAGTGCACCTGGGGAACAAACAGATCCTGGACTCGCACCAACATAGGCCGGTGGGACGCAGCACCAGAGTCACGGGGTGCCTTGGAAAGCAGAGACAACTTGTGTCCCAACTCATCTGAATGCAGTGAAAAACACAGATTTCAAATCTCACTCAATTATTCCATCAGTAGAAATCTGGACACAACTCCCATCAGTGTATGGTTTTACTTTACTGCTACAAAGGGCACCCACCCATACTTAGTTCTTGCATGATGCTTCAGAAATTTGTAAGGGAACAAGTTCATATTTGAACTAATGTATCTATTAAATGTATTGGGCTATTGTTTCCCTTTATGCTCATATCCCTTTCACGATTTATGGTAATTATTTCATTCAGCTAGTTCTGTAGCTGGAGGTAATTTTTGCTGTCTGATGAGAGGCTAATGGAATTTATTAACTCTGATACTCCTCAAGATATAGTATTGCAGTTCTCAAAGTCAGCAGTAGGGCACATTAGACTGCTTCTCTGTGGTATGTATGCAGCATCAGTAGAAAATTCAACTATTTAAACAGACAAACCTATACCTAAAAACATTAAGCACAGATTCCAAGGACTACTGGAACAAGTTATGTCTAGGGCAGAACTTCAAATCTAAACAGGTCAATTTTACCAGAACATTATGATCATAACTGATGATCATATAAAAATTATATATATATATATATTAAATGAGCCAGAATACTGGATTCCAGTGTCAATAGGCTCTTGCCATCATTTACATGTTGAAAAGCATTTTCAGTGCATGGGAAAAATAGGACAGTGAGCAGGAAATCTAGTTTGAATACAAGTATTCATAGTCACATAAAATTCTTTCACATAAAATGATACCACAGTTACATATTTTATTTTGTTTCAGTTTTTAGCTTATGCTTCAGAAGACACCTGGTACTCCTCCGTGGATGCTCAGTGTGGATTGTGTACAATAGATCTTCTCACAAACACTATAATTTCACATTTGGAAAGCCCTCTGCAAATACTCATTAAGCCTTAAAACTGCCATGTGCAAACAGCAGCATGGTTATCCCACTGCAGAATGAAGGGAACACAGGCCATTGAAAACTGCCTTTCTCTGCAAATTTTAAAGCTGGAAATTACTAAGAGACCAAATTTCTCAGCTTGTGGGTCAAATACCATGCAGCACCCTTTTCCTATCATACTTAAAAGAGTAAATCAATTTACAGAATTCTAGAAATTCCCAGCTGTGTTGTCTCAGAGGCAGAGGGACAAGCTGTATACTGCAGAACCTGAAAGAATTAAAACTGCAGAATTAAAACTGCATTAGTCACTTACAATTAATATTTCTCCTTTCCTCACTATCCAGATGTCTGTCTGGAAAAAATTACTCGTATTACTTTCCCCAGGGTCCACCCACAGTTCCATCTGATTCAAATGATGCCACCAAAATCGGCTGCCACAGACCAAGATTTTGCTCATTACTCTGAACACCCTTTACTCTCCCACATGGTAATAAATGTATTTGGATACAAACTTCTACAGCCACTGCTTAGTTTTGTTCAGCTCATTTCAGAGCTCTGTGTCTTCACTGCTGCGGTTTGCACAGTTCAGTTTCTGAAGCTTTAACCCTAAATCACCACAGAAATGTTTGTATTTCTGCTCAAACGAAAGCTGAGCTTCTAGACTCTAAATCAGGGCTGAATGGGAACTAACCCATCCCACTAATCCCAATTCAGCCCAAGCAGAAGTGGAGCTCTGGCTAATCACCTGAGCAGTGTGCTGTTCCTGTCCTGCAGACTCAGTCCACACCTGAGGACTTTCCTCTTTCAAGTCCATCTCCTCCCTGCCTGTGTGCTCCATGAGGAGAAGGAGACCTACTGGAGTAATATCTGGCTGAAGGGATTCATCTGTTCATTGTGTTTCTGCTTCCAGAAGACAAGGTGTTCTTCAGCAACATGGCTGTAAAAAAACAGAGAACAGAGACATTAAAACCAGCATGACACATGGCATGGAGCTATGAGGGATTTATTATTATCCAGTAACACAGACTAAAGCAGGTTTGGCTTTATAAACACCTCCTACAAGACCCAAATACCTTAAGTTATGGGAGCAAGGGAACAGAAATCTGATCTCACTGAGCATGGTCAAGTCCTACTGTTTGCCACTTTCCATATCCCATTAAGGAGGAAACAAATCAACCATTGCACCACTTGCACCAAAAGATTACACTGAATTCTTCCTTCATCTCTTTCCTTGGCCACAGGCCATCCACATCACCTTCTCCTCATTGTCCTTCTGGCACCTACAGGCCTAGAAATCAATAAATAACGCAAAAAACGGACCTGAGGCTTCCAACAAGAAAACACTATGTTCAGAGATGCATCACCAGTTCCTCAGTTTGCCTGAATGATGTTTTGTTTCATCACCAACTGGTTTTCCATGTACAGACAGATTTGACCTTGGACAAAACCCCAGTCCCAGGTTAGCAGAGTGTTACAAGAGCCAACTACTAAAAGGGAACAATGAAACTTCAACTCTCAAAGATCCCAACAAACTGCTTCCAAGCTTGGTTTTATTCACCTCTTGCAATTTTACTGGGGCCTCTCAATCTGCCATTGTGATCCCAGAAGGGGAGTTTTCAGCTCTAGTGATTGAGTCGGTGGTTCAGCACCCTCCCAATCCTTCGTCTCTAATGCCGTATTAAATCATAGGCCAGGAATTAGCATGAGGCTGAGCCCATTTCATTTCTCAGCTACTCCAATTAACTTTATTTTATATCCAGTGCCTCGCTGGGCTGATCCAATGCCAGTACCCATCTGTGCACCAGGAAGGAAGCAGAAGGCTCCTTGCTGATGCTTTCATTCATTTGCATTTTAAATGCAAATTATTTTAGTCATAATTTATCCCTATAAATGCTAGCATTCGGCTTGTCATTGACAAACTGAAAAATAGATAAAGAGAGGTAAAAAAAGCAGCAGGCACTTTATAAATCCTCCTAATTCTGCCAGCAAGGATTAAGCCATGCAGACCTGAGCACTGGCTGTTCCACTGGGCCTGGCCAGCACGGATAAATCATCAGGGCAGGAAAATCTCAGGCTAATGTCACTGAACTGTGCGGTGGAGCAAAAAAATCAGATTACTTACATATACACAAAGAAAAACAGTGGGAAAGACATTTCTGGGCATTGCTAGACACCAAGTCTTGCTGTTACTGGTGACTGGAGTTAACGCTTGCTGTCTCATGCTGAGCAACCCAGCACATGGGAGCCCCACAAAAGCAGACACTGAGGAAATGTTCTGACTTTCTCTTATATCCAAACATCTCCAGTTATGGGAATATAGGGGCAGAAACCTCATCTCCATTAATATTGCTTGATACAAAACATCACCAAAAAGCACTTAGGAGAAAAATTAAAATAAAATCTATGTACCAGCATTCAATGCCTGAGTTTAGTATGAACAAATTAACTGCAGCAAACATGAGTGATAAAAAACCAGCCTTGTCTTCAAAGTGTGGAAGGTCAGGGCAATTTACAGATAAATATTATTTATTTATATATCCAAGCGCACACATGCTCTGATCTATAAATAAATACCATCCATCCCTACAGAGAACCTTTCTCCTAGCTACTTGTTATGTTATTAAGGATTAAAAAGTCGGGAATTTCCCATACCTAATCCTACCTCATTCACTGATCTCCTTCACTCATTTTATCAGGTATAGGTTCTTTATTCAGAATATATAAATATATACATATATCAGGTATATGATCGCCTCTACCCATGCGAAACATGACAGCATTTATGTCAGTAACACACTGTGAACAACTTCTTTGCAAAATGTAACACCTATCCTGTTGATATTTTTCAGCTGGTTTACCCACAACAGCTCTTTTCCTAGACAGCCAGTATTAATCAAGGGCCAATTCAGGTAATTGCACTAACAGTAGCCAGTAGTTTAATAAATTACCTGACTGCTTAGAAAACTAAAAATACAAAATAAATATTAGAGGTTTCAATTTGGGGTAGTTTGACTTTTTAAAACAAATATAATTATCCTGTTAAAAAGCAAGCAATTACATTATCTACTAATTGAATTAAGAGAAAGGCTCAGTTCTGGCTAATTCCACATGGTGCAACCTGTAGCAGAATTTTTGGCTGACCTTCCCCATGAGCAGACAATGAAGGTCTGAAGGAAGATGCTGACTCACTCCTGCAGAGTCATTTTGGCACAGATAACTTACAACTTGAGTACAAAGGAGACTGAAGGGTTCAGGCAGGGTCTTTAAAAGACAAAACTGGGAATTAAGAATCATCTCTGAAAAAAGAAGTACCCAAAAAGTTGCAAAGGAAAGCAGAAGACAGTCATTTCATGGTTCTGAAAGTTAGCACTAACTTTTAATCTTGGGGGAAAATAAAGCAAGGCTGAACCAAGTTCAGTGCCCCAGTGCTGCAGATTCTATAAACAGTCCAGTTATTGCTGTTCTTGACAGAAATGAAAATAAGAAACAGCGCAGCCCAGCCAATTGTGCAGCAATAAGGAACAATATTAAGAACCACAGGCTTTGCTGATGCTTTCAACTTCTGTACTTCCAAATTCATCCTAGGATTGACCTCTGGTATGCATTCCCTCAGTATGTCTGTAATCATGAAAACACACTGAAAAGCACATTTCCCTGGAAACATGCATGTGCTGAGAAAGAAGACAATGCAGGAGGAGACAGGCTGTGTCCCAGAGAGGTCACAGGGAGCCAGAGGGGCAGGAGGCAGGAGCAAGTGTTGAAATTCAGCTGTGAAACAAGGCCAGGAGCTGGAAAAATCTTACCCAAAGTCACTGACAATAGAACTGCCACAAACACCAACACCTGAGCAAGTTTTCTGACACCAATGACAAGAAGACCACACTAACTACGCTCACTGATCTTTCATAGGATGCTCCTCCTCATGAATCCTGCACAATCTTATTTCCTACCCTAGATACACCCCCTCAATTACAGCCCTGACACTAACAGCCCACAGTGTCTTGAAATGTTGACCATTTCCCTGTGGTCTTCTCTCAGCTTTGGCAGTTTTTTAGCAGAAATAAATGTGAAATTTTGGACATAAGCATTGCCAAATCACTGGCATGCAGGGAGTGCTGTTTGCTTGCTGTCCACACTCTTTGCCCATGGATTATCTTTGGCAATTGTTGATTTTTCTCACTGTATTGAACACATCAGACATTTTCAGACAAGCTAAATAAACACCAAGACATGCACCTCGATGGGAAGCTCTGCTGTATCAAAGGGATTACCATAAGAATCTGTGTAACAGAAATTGAAACTCAATCGCAGAAATCCTAAAAGAAAAAAAGATAATTAAAGATAAAAGGCATTGTAATAGGATAAACTCAGTTTTTTCTCAGTATTCAGAAAGTAGGCTACATTTTGTAAGAAAAATCCATGTAGAAGTTTAGTAAAACAGTAATCTAAACAGCTTGCTTAAACTCATGTTAAATTTACATGTTATGTATGTCACAACTATATTCTCTCCACTATAAGAGGCCTGGCTCAAATATAATTCAAAATTTTTTTTGTAAGTTCTTACTTTACTGGAAGTAGAGACATTTAGTCAATTACGAAACATCACCCAATAATCACCCAAAATTCCACCAGCACCCCAATGTTTTCATACAATCCAATGAGCATCACAAACATGAGCAATAAGCAATGCCAGTGGGAGCTGTTAAAGCATTTGCAGTGACTGCAGATGCAGCATTTTCCTCCCCAAACGACAGGCATGCCTCACCCTGTCTGTGCTGGGTGATGACACAAGCTGAAACAGTCACAGGCACAACTAAATGGTACAAAGATAGTCCAGTGGTGAGGCAGTGACAGCCCTGTGTCACGATATATTGTGTGAATCACGACACAACACGATTGAAGAACCAGCACAGCTCCTCTGACTTTGAAATATCTCCTCTAGTGGAGCATTAGCTCATTCTGAGCTGTTCAAGTAAATTAACCATCCCTTCAGGATAACATAGGTTTGTCTCAGAACACCATTCACATTTACCTTCCTTTTCTCAACACCTTCTGGGACCTGTTGCTGTCACAGACCTACAGCCATCTCTCTTTACACTTTTTTTAAAGGTTTTACACTTTACATCCAATCCAGAAAATGTCATTAATGACAAAATTTCTCCTCTGCTGTTCCTGATGCCTCAAAAGCATCTTGGTGTCATTGTCTGACATTTCTTCTTTTTTCTTGGAAATCATGCTTAAAACCTCCTTTTGACCTTGGCAACACTCTCCAACTCCTCCCTCCTGCTCCTGTGGGACAGTGTTTTCTCTGGAGCTGTATTATTAAATCAGCAGCTTCCCATGAACTGCATTCAGTTCCAGAGGATGGGAAAGCACTACTCAGAGGGGCAAAGCACCTCATTTGCCTACCCAACAGCAATGTATTTGTTAGCTCTGCTGCCTCAGAGCACCCTGAGCCACCACAGCCCCACGTGTGTCCCCTTACAGCTGCATGCATGATCCCCCCACAAACACTCAAGAGTGAACAGCGCTGTAAGAGAAAACCACTAACAGCAAAGTCACTGCTGGTTTGTGTTTGGTATCCAAGTGTTTTAAACACAAGGTAAACCCAGTGAACTCATCTAGGGCTTCAAAGGTAAGCTCTGAAAGTCAGAAAAAAACACCACAAAAAAAAATTAGAATCAACAATAACCATATTTTCTTGGCAAATTTGCTATTAAAGAATGGCAATTTCTTTCAATGTTATGACTACACAAGAATATACAGAGACAAAATCTCTGGGGACTTCATCTGCAGCAACCTCTGTGAGGTTCACTAAGGGCATTCTGCTGAAAAATCCAAGCCAGTGGCTGCCAAACACTCATTTTTGCCCCTTCTCTGGGATGAGAAAGGGGGATATTAAAGCAGAGGAAGGGGAAAAGACCACCTCCCTGCTCAGGGAGGAATAAAGGCACTCAGTATCTCAAATGAGAATGCACTTTACAAAAATGGTGCATAAACCAGCTAATGTGATTTACTCCCCAGTGTAAAAAAGCCTTGCCATAGCCTGAGGTTCCCTGCAGCAATAACAGCAGGGACTATTGGCTAAATCCTCCCACGACTGAGCTCACTGACAACTGAGCATCACCCCAGCCATGTGCAAGGGCACCAAGATTGGTACAAAAGGAGTTTTACGATTCTGAGTCTTCCTCCAGCTTTTAGTATGAAAATGATTTATGATGCTAAAAAGGAACATCACATTTGCCAGCAAAAAGCTTTACCCACACTTAATTATCCTAGTTTGCCTAGAAGGCAGAGCCAATGCATTTCCTGAGATCCTTTAGCAGGAACATGCTTTCACTGCTGCAAGAAGGTTTCTAACCTCATTGAGGAGGACTGTTGTCACCTCTTCTGCATTCCCATCCATCACAGGCACATACTGTTTCAAGGAGCTCTGGTCCTGGTGCATTTTGTGTGAATGGTATCAATCAGGTCACGTAAAACCACATTTTTTATGTTTTACTGGAGAGTTAAAAATGGAAATCATACTAGGGCTGGGACAGCAAGAATTATTTATCTCCACAAAGGGAAAACTGGCTTCAATTTATTTTGTCATACAATAAATAGAAGAGCTCAGCCAAACACCAACTTACTCTTTGCTGCCATTGTACATAATGAGTCTATCTCCTTATGGCACATCCACCATCAAAGCAACAATGAGCTGGGAAAGATCTCTTAGACCAAGGCCAGACTGCTTGACATGGCAGTTCCAGCCCTTTTCCTAAAGGGACAGTGCCCAGGCACTGAAGGTGACAGCACAACAGCCTGATGTAACTATTCTCTCAGAACTTACTGGGTAAGTAGCTGAAGATCCATTTCTAACAGAGAACACAGGAGAGAATCCAGCCTGAGCACAGGCTAATATCCTCCTGGGAGCTACCTAGGCTGTGTTTAGACACCTACTCAGAGATGCTCCAAGGACATCTCTCTTGAGTCCTAATTTTTGTATAATAAAGTATTTCTCACACTGTCCTCTCTCTCAGTGGGCAAAGACTCAACTTCATTACTTTCTACATATGCAAATCTCTTCTTTAGTCACCTCTCTTCCCATTTGCTCAACATCTACATAGCCACTCCAGCAACTGATTTCTTCCTCCCACCCTCAGTTTCCTGAATCTCTGGCCATGTTCCCCATGTTCTTGTCTTCCCAATGTTTCATCCTCTGAGGTCCCTGTGATATCATGGTTGTTGAATCACATACTGCAGTTTTTGGGCTCCAGCTGCTCGAGACAATGACCGTGCCTTCCTAAAGGACTTGGATTATAAATCACGAAGAGAGAAGTCTGATAAAGCAAGGAAATGGAGTACATGCATTTAAAGTATAGGACGACACAAAAGGAAGATAAATGTCTGTATCAGCGTCTTCTACAGTTCTGCCCACACAACCTTCAAGATGGCTCTATTAGGGGTTACTGAAAGAAAATAAACCATTCCCCTCCAGCTTCTTCCTGACAATTTTTTGTCTTCCATCCCTTCTCCTCCTCCAGTAAACTCTTTCCAAAAGAGTTGTCAGTTGAAGGGGATTCTTTCCTTTCCTACAAGTGGGTGGTGCTTCCTCTCTCCTTCTCCCACCTCCCTGCACCTCTCCTCAAAATTTAAATCACCTGTCATAAAATTCAAAAGAATAAACCTACTTTGTTTCTGTACATAAAAACACATACATGAGATAGCTCCTTCAGAATAGCTGTTGCTCTGCACTACCCCAAAGAACCAACGGACCATCTGCACCTTCAAACAGGTGGGCACTGACATATAGAGCCATTTCAGGGCTACAATACAACTGCACGTTTGACTAGCAGGAGATAAAAGTGACAAACAGACCCAATCTCACGGTCAGGTCGAAACAAAATTCAGCATACAAAACCAACCCAGTTAATCAGATACACTTAGAAGTCTATTAGAATGCAGTGTACATAGCTGCCAGCAGGGCAGGTGCCCAGGAACACACTGGGAATGGCTGCTCACTGCAGAGCAATTTACCCCAGGAGAGCTCATCCAAGGATTTTCTGCAAAGGATAGGACTAAGGGTGTCAGAGGAGAGCAGACAATACCACAGACCCATTTCTCTCTAAAATCAAATTGTCAATTATTCTATCAGATAACAATAATAACAACTACTCCGATATTTTATCTTATAAAAAAGATAATAAAGCTGTCTCTTTTTGCACAAGAGAAGCATCCATGAAGCAAATATGTCAAAAGCCATCACAATTTCAGAGAGAAGTTTTCCATTTAAGGACAGACTAGAGCAATACACACTCCTGTATTAGTTTTCCTAGAAATGAAGGCATTAGAAGGCTCAAGACTGCCAATTATTTTATTGTATCCACAAAAGATGCAAAGAATCCTCTTGTAATATCAGTTGGTGATTCATTAGCATCTCATCTTCTAACTGAACTATAAGAAAGAAAAAACTAAATTATTAAAAATCTGACAGAAGAAAGCAAAAGTTCAGTATAGTCTCTATTCCCATTGAAACTCACAGGGAAACATTGATAGGTATTTCACACACCCAGCTTTGCACTTTGATCATTCTTTAAAGGCCTGTAAGAACCATAAATATATAACCATATAGTGATACACTAGATACAATGCTGAGGTACAAAGAAGTGCATCACAAATACAGACCCTTCATTTCACTGTCAGGACTATGACTACTGTCAGAAGCCTAAAGCAAGTTTAAATTGTAATTTAGGGATCCTGTAAGAGCCCTCCTGAGGCTCTGCAATGTCCGGCTGAGAGGTAAAAGGTGACCACACACAGCTCTTGTACAGGGAAATAACCCTAAAAAATGTGAATTATCCCTTTAGGATGAGTAATTCTGACACGCACAGCATCAGGACCTCGTTCTTCCATTCCAACTCAACTATTTAACAAATTCACATAAACTCACTTTTAATGAGCTGGGGCACAGGAGGGGAAACAGGACAACTCAACACCAACACCCACAAAGCAAGAGAGCCACCAGATCAAGTATCCACTTGCTACAACCATACCAAGACCACAGGAACCGGGTTTTTGGCACCAAGACCACTGTCAGGAGACCCGTGAACCCCACAGCTTCCACCTGCCTCAACTGCTGCTACTCGCACCAGGGCCTTCGTGAATGGAACTCCCTCAGGGCAGCGGGGAAGGGCCTAACTTCCCTCAACACCAAGCCTCAGGGCCACCCGGCCAGGAGCCTTGGCCTGCTGGGGCCACACAGATGCCCAACACACCCGCTGGAGCAAGGGACCCTCATGAGGGTGGAACGGGCAGAACGCAGCGCACCACGGCCCCTCACAGGGCCCACTGGGGTTCCTGCACCCACACCCCCGATAGAGTCGCCACGGCCACCAACAGCCAATCCGAAGACGGGGTGAGTCGCCCCCTCCCCTAACTAGGCCAATAGGAGGCAGGGGCGCGAGGCATGTGGCCAATCGGCAGGCGTGAGTGACCCCCCTCCCTCACACCGCCCGCTTCCCGCCGCCGCGCCCCCCCATCCGCCCCCGCCTAAGGGCAGCGGCGCCATCAGCCCCTCGTGAGAGCGCCCGGCGGCCAGCCGGCCCCAACCATTGAGCGCCGAGGAGGGACACGGGCGGGCGGCCAGGGCGGTCGCTGAGTGGACGGGCCGGGCCGGGCAGGGCCGGGCCCGTCGCCGAGGGAGGGGGAGCTGGACGGAGCGCGGTGCGAGCGGCCCAGAATTATGGCGGAGAGATGAAAGACCCCCCCCACAATGCTGGGGAAGCAAAACATGGCTCCGGCACCCCCCCCCCTCCCCCCGCCGCTCAGGTGCCGGGGTCTGGACCGTACCACGTAGGGAGGGGAGAACAAGGGTGGGGGCACCCCCTTCTTCCCGTGTCCGGGGCGGGTGGGGGATCCCGGCTAGGGTGGGGGGAAAGCGGACTGTACCTCTCCCGCGGGGTGTGGGGGGAAGGGAATGAGTACGCCCTACTTCCTCTTCCCCCCCCCCCCACTGGCGAGAGCGAACGGTTTATCCCGGCCCCGCACCGCCAGCTCTGGGCGCCATCTTGGGTGCGACTAAAACAACAAGTCTAAAACCCCCGGCGGGTCCCCGCGGCGTCCCCGGGCCGCGCTGCCCTCCCGGACCGTCCCATCGCGTTACCTGAGGGGGTCCCGTGCGGGCGCCGCGCCCCGGCCGCTGCCGTCGGCCCTGCAGCGGCCCCGAACCCCCCCACCTGTCCTCACCTCACAATGGTAGCTGCAGAGCGGGGGGGGGGGAGGGGTGGGTGGCCGCCCGGGCCTCATTACCATAATCTGCCTGGCAACAAGCCGCGGCGTCGCGCGCTGATTGGCTGAAACTCCTCCGCCAGCCACGGCGGGGCACAGAATTCCCCAAGGAAAAGCTTGGAGCGCCCAGCTCAGGGGGCTGAGGCGCCGGGGGGCGGGGGGCTGGGACGACGACACACACCCCGATCCGCAGGGGGTGTGGGGGGGGGGGGGGTCCTCTGCCCAGGTTTTTACTCTCACCTTCGGCTGCTGGCCGCCAATCAGAGCCCCTCTCTCATCCCCGCCAGGGGTATCTTGGCCAATCAGAGTGCGCTTTTCATCGCGGCGCTCCGCCCCCGCACTGGGGCTGTGGGCGCCGCCAGCAGTGCCCCCTGCTGTGGGGTGGCGGGGGGCGCCGGGCGCCCCCTGGTGGCGGGAAGGGACAGAGCGGCGACACCTCCGACGTCCCTCACGCCGAATGTTCCGGGACAGGTCGGGCCGGGCCCATTCCCCGCTCCCTTCTGGATAAGGAGGTGGCTCCCAAACTTCTCGTGAAATCCCATCCGCAATGCTCTGCAGCCCCTTGGAGCATAATTACCTAAAATTGTGTCAAAACCAGTGGATTCCACTGGAATTTTACTTAAAGCAGAAATGTGAGCTATTAATATCTGTTGAAGGTCAACCCATGAGAAAATGCCCACTAAAGGGCTCCTTCTGCCTAAAACGTCCCTAAATAGTGCTCTAACAATTTTTTTCATGGTACATGTGTCTGAGTCCTAAATGTCTGCTCAAAGAAGGATAATACTGTTGTTCAAAAATGTAACTAATTGGTCATTCCAGTGTGGTTACTGCCATATTTGTGTTAATATTTATCTATTTGTATTATGGCGGCACGGAAAAACATCCCTTTCTTATCACTCATTTGCACACACTCGGGTAGCTCTTTAATCAAGTAGCTCAGTAGATATTTAAGCCAGACAACCCCTGTGTTTAGGACCTTTTAGTTTTATTCTAAATGGCTTCATGGACTGTGTGGGACCACTGTGAAACCACTGCTCACTGCAGCGTGGGCAGCTACCAATCTCTCAATGGGCCATTGTGGCCAACTGACCAAAGCCCAGGAGGACAGATAGGGGAAATTTGGGTTAAATATTAATCATTACTTTTACAGAACTGGTTTTGCTCAGTCTCTGTGCTGGGAGACCAATGAGAGGGTCAGATCTTGGTGCCAATAAATGTAACTCTCCATTAGGTCTGTCTTTTTAAAGCCTGGACTAGTCTTTTAAATTAAGAGCTGCTGTTGTAAATTGAAATCATCCCCTGTTGTACTGACCCCCTTCCATGAGCAATCAAAATTTCAAAAACAGCCCACAGAGATACAAGTTTTCTAAATTGTGTTTATGAACTTGATATTAAAATGTTAGATATGGGTTTTACACCTCAAGTCAGCAGAATTAGCTTAATTTAGAAGTTTGTTCATTTTTTTCCCCCTAACTATACTTCTTTACATCTCTGGGCAGTTATCTTAATTTAAATTGTGGGAGTCATGGAGCCAGTTTATTTCTCTGTCCCATAGAACCAGCTTCAATTTCATTATACTGTACTGAAACTTCAGGACAGCAAGGAAACACATAAAAGCAATCAAAACTGCTTTATTTCTTATAAATTTTAAAACCTGCATGTGTCACATTTTAAAAAAAAATCAAAGTGTATTTTTATTTACGTTTTCCAAAAGTCTCCCTAACGTTTTTAAAGACTTGGTGGCTCTACCACAAGAGATGTAGCCCCATGGTGGAATACAGAACAGTGCCCTTTCCTGAAACAGGGCTCACATTGAAAGTTGTTCCACAGGTTATTTTTTTTCCCCTTTGTAGTCAAATTAATGCAAGTTTGCTGTGGATGCACCAAAGCTGCCAGATGCTGGTGTGATTCATACCCTGCAGTATCCGGCATCTGATGTAATGCCTATTGTAATTCCCACATTTGATGTGTTGTTTCTGATGCTCCAGCACAGGCTTTGTTTCCCCCACAGCCTTGTGCTGGCAGAGAGAGAGGCCTTCACAGGAGGTTAATTTATTTATTTCTAATCTGCATAGTTCAAGGGTAGGCCATGAAATACCTCTCTTCACCTCCAGTCTGGAAGGTGCTGGAACCCTCCTGAAAATCCTGCTCAGCTCCCAGGCCATCAGATCCCTGTCTCCATGCCTGCATCATCTCGTTTGGATGCTGCTGCTGCAGCAATTTCTCTCATCTGACAGAAACCAGTTCTGGCTCTTCCCTCTGGTGACTCCAACATTAATTTCTCCACTAGTTCCTAGATGGAAGCAAGTGTACTGACTGGCTTCTCCCCCCTTTTCAGATTCCAGGTGGAAAAGCACACTGGAACTCCCCCCTATTTAATTTACTCATGAATATCTTTCTGCCCTCTTTTCCTTGGATCTCCTCACCCCTTCCTTTCACCTAGAAAAGCCACTCCTAAGTCTCTGCCATAAAAAGAAGCCTCCCATCCCTGGACCCTACTCCCTAAAGCTGCTCCCCAAGCCTCTCTCAGACCCCTAGACAGGTTTTCTGGTTTTTTCCCATCCATATGGATATTTCAGGTTTTGTTTGGGTTATTGGATTTTTCTCCATGACATAATCCCATTTTGAGCAACATATAAATTAAATATGACAAAGAAAAATGCTCAAGTGCTCTAAACTCATTTGAGTTATAGAAGCAGCCACTGCCTTCCTGGTCCTGGTGACCTCCCCGTCTCATTCTGTGCATGACAAGTAGGTACTTAGGTCTAGATTCCTAAATTAAACTGCACATGGAATTGGGCTATGCTTTGTGGCACCCACTTCCCACCCTCATGTAAGTCAGCAGCTGGCTGTGATTTAAAACTCCAATTGAGAAGATGGAAGAACTTTAGCCCTGTCCCTGTGTCTGTTACAACCTGCTAAATTATAATGCAACTGAAATGTAATTACTTTTCCATCCTGCACAGAGAATACAAAACATGAATTTGCTAGTTTAGAGTAAGCCACAATAAATTTAATTAAAATGGCCTCATGTAAAACACATACAAGTACAATAAAGTTATTTTATTTTGGTTCTCAGGATCGCTCCTCCCCCAGAAAATTTGTCTGTTTTTTAAACATGCTGAATTAATCCCTTTAACTGCAAAATGACTAAAACAAGTTTGAGGGTGTTGTAATAGTACCTACATCAACTCAAAAATTTAAATTTTATTTTAAATGAAAAACATACCATTAGCTGAAGCATTCACCTCATGCATTCACTATTGGTTCACTTTTTGCCTGATTTGTACCCAACCAAGTGGCATTTCTCTTCCAATTGTTAATAATAAAGAGGCACAAAAATAAGTCAGGAAACAACTTGCATCATCACCCTGCCCCCAATCCCCCTGATTTTCACTGGTCATTTGGTAAAAGATACAGCAAGTTTTAGGAAAAGGCAGCTTTTCAGTTCACTGAAAATCTATTTAGCAAAGCTCTGCTGGGGTGTTGGGATAGGAAAAGTAAGTCCTGATGCCAAAATGCCTGCAGAGAAAATATTTTGCTCCTCACACACCAACATCTCCCTGACTCCATTAGAACAATATTTATAAAGGCAGCTGCTGCTCCTGATGATGCCTTGACATCCCATGGTTTTAAGGAGACAAATCAACTGGGAGCTTGGCATATCATAGCTTTTGCTGCAAACTGTCTCTTTGCAAGATTCTGCAGGGTTAGAAAGGGATTTTTCCTTCTTGTGCTCAGCTGCTCCTGTGGAGGCCCAGCCTGATGTCGTGGTTCCAGTCAGCCCGGTTTAGGCAAGTACAGTAACTCCAGTGCAACCCAGTTCTTCTCTGCATTGCCAGACTTGTTCATTCTTGGAGCATTTCCCAGAAATCTGTGCTGGACAGATGTAGTTCACTTTCAAATCCAGGTCAGCTACTTCTTTAGCTGGGATTACTGTTCATTTAGTGCACACATTTCTTCTCTGGGAAGGATCTCAGCTCCCATGATCCTGACAGCCCTAAACTGCCAGCACCCAACCCTAGCATCTGATTTCCCACTGGAGTTGAGATGTCTCCATGACCCAGCCCTGGCTGTGTAGAAGCATTGTCATTAGTAGGAAATAATTTGTGCATCAACTGCAAAGTAAACACAGAGGATGTTTGGGTTTCCTTTCCATTAATCAGGCCAGAATGACTCAGGAAACTCGCCATGCTTTTTGATATTTCTGAGTTCACTAGAAAGCTAAATAAAAGTTTAATAGTCTCTATTAAAATTATTACTCTATTTAAAATGATAAAATAATTATTGAAATGATAGCACATTATACAAGATTTCTAATTTTTCCAGAAGATTTGTCTCCAGCACTGGGAAAGGATTTGATCCAGCCTTTGACAACCTTTTTCAAAATGTGGCAATGACAGTCAGCTTTCCTCCACCTCTGTCAGGAAAGAAGGGATCTTCAGAGATTTTCCTCTTGCTTCTGCATACATTTGGTAGATGAATAAAAGGGGCAACATAAAACCACATTCAGTGATAATTTATGGTAGATGTTTAGACAGCAGCCACATTTTCTTTTAAAATATTGTATTTTGAGATTTAATTTAGTACATGTACTAACTCTAGACTCTTGTTTATCTTGACTTTTTATAGAAGAGCTAAAAGTAAGTCGCCTAGCTGGGAAAACTCTGTATCCTTTTTCAGGATGTATAAAGATAAAAATATTTTTCTGTCAGATGGTCAGTCTTTCTCCTTCTGCAGGAGTTAGAAATTAGAAGTCTGATCTTCTGATGGATGTAGGAGCTGGCAGAGGGTTTCCAAGCTACCAAATCCCCTCTGTCACAGACACCTCAGTATATAACTTGAGCAGGCTTTCCCTGATGAGAAACTGAGATGTTTATTCTTGTAGTTTTGAACAAGAAACTAAAAACATCATTGAAGACAAGTTGATTCTTTTTTCTAAAGTCTATTTCTACTTATTTCATGCCTTTTAAGTAGGGTCTTTATCCTTACCCGCAGTGTTTACTCTCCTGATGTGTTTATAGACAGCAATCACATCCTCACTGAGGTTTGTTTTGTCAGACTACACAAACCATGCTCCTTTTGTTTCCTGCTGTCTAGCACATTCCTCATTCCCAGCTCTCTGCCCAGCCCTGCTGC